CATTTTTTGAGACAGGAATTTGGGGTTTTCATGAGCTGTATGCCAAAATCATCAGTATTAAAACAATAAAAGACCTGAAATATTTCAGTTGGTGTGCAATGAATCTAAAATATATGAAAGTTTAATTTTTATCATTACATTATGGAAAATAATGAACTTTATCACAATATGCTAATTCTTTTAGAAGGACCTGTATAATGCGATATTATAAGATTTTTACCAGATGATTTGAATAACCATATTTGGAAATAATAATTAAATCCCTTTCCGAGATTAACGATTTCAGACAAAATAATATACTTAGGTTTGATTTTGCAAGAAGCAACTCGAACTGCAGTTTAAATAAAATATTAAACAAAATAAGAAATATCATTTTACTATTGCACTGTAAAATAAAAATTATTTTACTATAAAATTACAATACTAATATTTATCTTCATTTCTTCATTTTTCAAATGGCAAACCATCAAAGCTTTTATTTATCAAGCGGGTCTCCGAACGAACCACATGACGCGCTTCACTCTGAAACCACCAGCGCATACATTTATTTGATTAAATCGTAGCAATATCGCTGTTATTCTGATGTGTATCGTGCAGCTCTACCTGGAAAGCAAATTGCATGAATGTAGACGTTAACAACTTAGCAATAAAACAAAAACTTCCCAATCTTAATATCTTCCTAAATCTCAGAGTCGTACCCATCATGGCAGAGACGGCTGAACTCACCAGCGGCGTTTGGTGAGGTTTGAGTGACTGAGCGCTCACCTCTTCAGGACAGAGCTCGCAGGCCTTGGCTAGCGTCATGCGCGCGCTGTGCGAGCGCTCCAGGAAGTAGCCGTTGGACGTCTCGTTGCTCTGTACTGGAGGAGACCAGTTGTTGTACGTGTACTGAGGGTTTCCAGTGTAAGGCCTGCGCTCCAGCTCATCGCCCAGCCATTCCACCGCCCACGTCCACTTCCTCTTCAGGTCCCCGTTACTCTGACACACAAGCACAACACAATCACCACACAATCACCGCACAATCACTACACAATCACCACACAATCACTGCACAATCACCACACAATCACTTCACAATAACTACACAATCACCACACAATCACATCGCCCAGCCATTCCACCGCCCACGTCCACTTCCTCTTCAGGTCCCCGTTACTCTGACACACAAGCACAACACAATCACTGCACAATCACCACACAATCACTACACAATCACCACACAATCACTACACAATCACCACACAAGCACAACACAATCACCACACAAGCACAACACAATCACCGCACAATCACTGCACAATCACCACACAATCACTACACAATCACCACACAAGCACAACACAATCACCACACAAGCACAACACAATCACCGCACAATCACTACACAATCACTACACAATCACCACACAATCACTACACAATCACCACACAAGCACAACACAATCACTGCACAATCACCGCACAATCACCGCACAATCACTACACAATCACCACACAATCACCGCACAATCACCGCACAATCACATCGCCCAGCCATTCCACCGCCCATGTCCACTTCCTCTTCAGGTCCCCGTTACTCTGACACACAAGCACAACACAATCACTGCACAATCACTGCACAATCACTGCACAATCACTGCACAATCACTACACAATCACTACACAATCACCACACAATCACCACACAATCACATCGCCCAGCCATTCCACCGCCCACGTCCACTTCCTCTTCAGGTCCCCGTTACTCTGACACACAAGCACAACACAATCACTGCACAATCACTACACAATCACTACACAATCACCACACAATCACTACACAATCACTACACAATCCCCACACAATCACCACACAATCACATCGCCCAGCCATTCCACCGCCCACGTCCACTTCCTCTTCAGGTCCCCGTTACTCTGACACACAAGCACAACACAATCACCACACAATCACCGCACAATCACTACACAATCACCACACAAGCACAACACAATCACTACACAATCACCACACAAGCACAACACAATCACTGCACAATCACCGCACAATCACTACACAATCACCACACAATCACCGCACAATCACCACACAAGCACAACACAATCACTGCACAATCACCGCACAATCACTACACAATCACCACACAATCACCGCACAATCACCGCACAATCACCACACAATCACATCGCCCAGCCATTCCACCGCCCATGTCCACTTCCTCTTCAGGTCCCCGTTACTCTGACACACAAGCACAACACAATCACTGCACAATCACTGCACAATCACTACACAATCACTACACAATCACCACACAATCACCACACAATCACATCGCCCAGCCATTCCACCGCCCACGTCCACTTCCTCTTCAGGTCCCCGTTACTCTGACACACAAGCACAACACAATCACCACACAATCACCGCACAATCACTACACAATCACCACACAAGCACAACACAATCACTACACAATCACCACACAAGGACAACACAATCACTACACAATCACCACACAATCACTGCACAATCACTGCACAATCACCACACAATCACTGCACAATCACCACACAATCACATCGCCCAGCCATTCCACCGCCCAAGTCCACTTCCTCTTCAGGTCCCCGTTACTCTGACACACAAGCACAACACAATCACTGCACAATCACTGCACAATCACTACACAATCACTACACAATCACTACACAATCACTACACAATCACCACACAATCACCACACAATCACCACACAATCACATCGCCCAGCCATTCCACCGCCCAAGTCCACTTCCTCTTCAGGTCCCCGTTACTCTGACACACAAGCACAACACAATCACTGCACAATCACTGCACAATCACTACACAATCACTACACAATCACTACACAATCACCACACAATCACCACACAATCACCACACAATCACATCGCCCAGCCATTCCACCGCCCACGTCCACTTCCTCTTCAGGTCCCCGTTACTCTGACACACAAGCACAACACAATCACTGCACAATCACTGCACAATCACTACACAATCACTACACAATCACTACACAATCACCACACAATCACCACACAATCACATCGCCCAGCCATTCCACCGCCCACGTCCACTTCCTCTTCAGGTCCCCGTTACTCTGACACACAAGCACAACACAATCACTGCACAATCACTACACAATCACTACACAATCACCACACAATCACCACACAATCACTACACAATCACTACACAATCACCACACAATCACCACACAATCACATCGCCCAGCCATTCCACCGCCCACGTCCACTTCCTCTTCAGGTCCCCGTTACTCTGACACACAAGCACAACACAATCACCACACAATCACCGCACAATCACTACACAATCACCACACAAGCACAACACAATCACTACACAATCACCACACAAGCACAACACAATCACTGCACAATCACCACACAATCACTGCACAATCACCACACAATCACAACACAATCACATCGCCCAGCCATTCCACCGCCCACGTCCACTTCCTCTTCAGGTCCCCGTTACTCTGACACACAAGCACAACACAATCACTGCACAATCACTGCACAATCACTACACAATCACTACACAATCACTACACAATCACTACACAATCACTACACAATCACTACACAATCACCACACAATCACCACACAATCACATCGCCCAGCCATTCCACCGCCCACGTCCACTTCCTCTTCAGGTCCCCGTTACTCTGACACACAAGCACAACACAATCACTGCACAATCACCACACAATCACTGCACAATCACCACACAATCACATCGCCCAGCCATTCCACCGCCCACGTCCACTTCCTCTTCAGGTCCCCGTTACTCTGACACACAAGCACAACACAATCACTGCACAATCACTACACAATCACTACACAATCACCACACAATCACTACACAATCACTACACAATCCCCACACAATCACCACACAATCACATCGCCCAGCCATTCCACCGCCCACGTCCACTTCCTCTTCAGGTCCCCGTTACTCTGACACACAAGCACAACACAATCACCACACAATCACCGCACAATCACTACACAATCACCACACAAGCACAACACAATCACTACACAATCACCACACAAGGACAACACAATCACTACACAATCACCACACAAGCACAACACAATCACTGCACAATCACCACACAATCACTGCACAATCACCACACAATCACAACACAATCACCACACAATCACATCGCCCAGCCATTCCACCGCCCAAGTCCACTTCCTCTTCAGGTCCCCGTTACTCTGACACACAAGCACAACACAATCACTGCACAATCACTGCACAATCACTACACAATCACTACACAATCACTACACAATCACTACACAATCACCACACAATCACCACACAATCACCACACAATCACATCGCCCAGCCATTCCACCGCCCACGTCCACTTCCTCTTCAGGTCCCCGTTACTCTGACACACAAGCACAACACAATCACTGCACAATCACTACACAATCACTACACAATCACCACACAATCACATCGCCCAGCCATTCCACCGCCCTAACTATGGTAGTTAACTAATGTTAACTAATGAACCTTATTGTAAAGTATTACCGTTTAGTTTTCAAATTAGTGCCAATTCGGGGCGGATTACTTGAATGGTGAGTTCATTAGCCTATTATTCTTAATGAAAAACACAACAACCAAACAGTGCATGACAAATTCGCTTGAATAGGTGCTTTTACATGCCATGGTCTCGTCAGTCAGCTCCTCGCTCTCCGAGTCCTGCTGCTGATCTGAGCGGCGACTCGTTCGGCTCACGATTCATTAAGCGGACACGGTCAGTTTAATCAGTTTAACACAGACTATCGTAGCAAGCCTATCCTCCATCCCTGGGATCGCCTCTGCTGTTCTAGCGGGGCTCCTGGGATTGAGGAGCTGTAGACGGGGCGTGCGCGTCACTCACACACACACACACACACACACACACACACACACACACACACACACACACACACACACACACACACACACACACACACACACACACACACACACACACACACACACACACACACACACACACACACACACACACACACACACACACACACACACACACACACACACACACACACTGCAGGATCTGATAGGCCACAGAGCAGTTGCTGAACAGCGCCACCATGCACTTAATGCACTGATAGGCCCGCTTCTGGTAGTGGTTCTTGGAGCGCTGGATGGTGTCGAAGAGCCCGTCTCGGTCATCGGGAATGCCCTTCAGAACATTGTGGATCCTAAACAGAAGGACAGCGCAGGCATGAGGATGCGGGCTCAACATCGGCTGTTTACATGTGCAGCCATCACGCATCACTCCCAGAGAGCAGGGGCGTAACCGCAGAACACTGTTTACACGACACGAGAAACCTCTTCACTTCCACTTACACGTTTCATTATTCCGATTATCTCCAAGAATTAAGTTATTTTCACAGAGCCCGGCACACGTGATGAACTCATACAGTCATGTGTCACGGTTTTAAACTACTGGCATCAAACGTAAAGCACATTTCTATGGACGCATTCAGTCAACATGAACGTGTTTCTTCAGCAACGTCTTTCCTGCAGTTGTTCATGAACCACCAGCACACGCTGGCTTCGGTCAGAGGAATAGACATGCCAATAGTCTTCACATGCCCATTTACTGCCATTAAAATCAGCTTACGCCACATATATTACTGTGGCTGAAGGGGCTTTCGCACCGGATAGGTCTGGGAACGAGCCACCAGAGCTAATGGTTCTCTCAGGGACGTTTTCCTGTTGCGTTCGCAGCGCCAGTGGGAACTCTGGAGATACGAAAGACACGCTTGCTGAGAACGCCAGAGTCTGAGCTCACAGCGCTCGCATTCTCCCGTTCATGCGATCCGTCTAACAGTGCTGTCTGATACGCTATTAGATACTGTTACACACAGAGAGGAGACCGTAATAAAGTGATTAGCGTGTGGCGTGTGTTTGATGTGTCGCTGAGCAGAAACGCATCATCATGTTCCTCTCGGTCTCCTCAGCTCCTCAGTGTAAAGGTTGAGAGCTCCATCTATCTCTGCTTTACATGTTCGTAGAGTTCGTTTCTGGAGTAAATATAAAGCCTATAATCTGTGTGCTTTTTAATAATGGCGGGCGCTGGTGTTTCACGAGCGTTCAGCCAATCAGCGAACACTAACGTCACTGTAGTTCCTCTAGCGCTGGGTTAGAGCGACTCTGGAGGAGTAAAGTAGTTCCTCTAGCGCTGGGTTAGAGCGACTCTGGAGGAGTAAAGTAGTTCCTCTAGCACTGGGTTAGAGCGACTCTGGAGGAGTAAAGTAGTTCCTCGAGCGCTGGGTTAGAGCGACTCTGGAGGAGTAAAGTAGTTCCTCTAGCACTGGGTTAGAGCGACTCTGGAGGAGTAAAGTAGTTCCTCTAGCGCTGGGTTAGAGCGACTCTGGAGGAGTAAAGTAGTTCCTCTAGCGCTGGGTTAGAGCGACTCTGGAGGAGTAAAGTAGTTCCTCGAGCGCTGGGTTAGAGCGACTCTGGAGGAGTAAAGTAGTTCCTCTAGCGCTGGGTTAGAGCGACTCTGGAGGAGTAAAGTAGTTCCTCTAGCGCTGGGTTAGAGCGACTCTGGAGTAAAGTAGTTCCTCTAGCGCTGGGTTAGAGCGACTCTGGAGGAGTAAAGTAGTTCCTTGAGCGCTGGGTTAGAGCGACTCTGGAGGAGTAAAGTAGTTCCTCGAGCGCTGGGTTAGAGCGACTCAGGAGTAAAGTAGTTCCTCCAAAAGAGTTTCTAGAACTGAAACCACTCCTAGTTCCTGCGGTGCGAACACGCCGACATCCGGGAACTCCCCAACAGCTCTGGGAACAGGGAAGAGGATCCTCTGGTGCGGAAGACCCTTGTGGATACTACAGTTATGAGCTTAATCGCATCAATTTGATCAAAGCATAGCGTTTACATGAGGTGAAGTTGAATCAGCATATGTTCCCTGAACTTGTCGTGAGCGAGCCTGTGACCGCAGCGATTGCGCCGCTCGGACTCACCGGTGCGTCTGCCACGAGTCCTCGATCAGCAGGATCTGCAGCAGGAGGTCCAGGTACGGCCGCAGCTCATAGGTGTAGGAATACGCCACCTGACACGAGACAACATGCACAGTGAGGGTCGTGAGGGAGATAAACAGCCTGTGAACACACACACACACACTCTCTCACACACACACACCTGCCAGAGCAGCTCGCTGAGCACCGTGGAGGAGAACTGAGGGTTCTCCCAGCAGCAGAAGCGCAGCAGCTTCACCGTCTCCTCAGAGTTGCTGCAGTCCTCGATGATCTTCTTCACGTAGCTGGTGCGCACGAACAGGGTCTCGGCCACAGGCGGCTGCAGGGGCATGATGGGAGCCGTGAGGCCGGGGTCCCCGTACGGGTTGGCCAGCGGGGGGTTACCTGTCGGAGAACACGGATCAGATCAGCTGAGAGTGCGGATGAGCCACGCTCGATCATCTGGATAAAGCCGAGTGGATGCTGCATTTCTGTGTGCGACCCATGAACTAGCGCTCACCGTTAATGGAGGACTGCATGCGCGAGGACACGTCGCAGCACCGCAGCAGTTGCGACACCACCGCGTAGAGTTTGCCCAGCTCGGCGTACTGGTACTTGATGGGAGGACCGGGACCCTCGTCCAGCGCCACCAGCATGAAGGTCGCTGGCACGCTTAACTTCAGCAGCTGCGTCTTCTCTGCCAGACCTGCAACAGACAGAGGCGTATTACTATGATGCACGGTTACCTTTAAAGGTGACGTATTACGCCCCCTTTCACGAGATATATATAAATCTATGGCGTCCCCAGAATGTGTCTGGGAAATTTCAGCTCAAAATACCAATCGTTTATTATAGCTCGTCAAATTTGCCCCTTTTAGGGTGTGAGCAGAAACGCTCCATTTGTGTGTGTGTCCCTTTAAATGCAAATGAGCTTTAGCTCCGCCTCCGTTCAGAAGAGGGCGGAGCCTTTACATGAGCTTCAGAGACTCCGGCAATAACAACACAGGCCAATCTCACTGATCCAGAGTCAGGAGTAACCAGCAGCGAGTGCAGCCTTACGGAGAGACTCAGGGAGAGCTTCACTTTTACACGTTTCTGAATGTTAGTGGATTCACAGTTACATTGATCGTCTGTTTCTGGGGGATTTCCATTGAAAATAAAATAAAATCCACAGCTCTCGTCTCATCTGAGGCTGGGACTCTAAATAGTGTTCAGTGTCGTCTGTGCTCAACACCAGAACAGTTTCAGGCTTTGCTGGATCTTCTCCAGTGCGTTAGAACTGGTCTCTGTTGGCGCTCGCCGAACCCAATGTCGCTGGTGTGTGTGAACGTGCAGATTAAGGGCCGGGAATATTATAATAAGATCCTCTTCATACGCCAGAAGGAGCGAAATCTGACCGGCTTATTTTAGACGTGCTCTCAGAGAAAGCCTCACCAGAACACAGTTACGGTTTCAGTTTTCATGTGTTCCGTGTCGGTAGAAGCACCGGATTACAGCACTTACACACGGAGAAAGCCAGATTTTCTTGATGTGTCCGCTTTCAGCTCATGAGGACTCATGGGAGTCGGGAGATCAGGACAGAACCAGCACTCACCCAGGTTGGCGTACATGACGAAGAGGTTGAAGTACTGCTGGAGGTGCCGGCCGTGTTCGGACACTTCTCTCCTCAGCAGGTTCAGCACCGCCCGTAACAGGTGATCGCTCAGGGTCGCGGGGTCACAGGCCTGTTCACAACGACAAACGCCCGTTTAAACACCAGGCCAGCTTCTGTGGCTCTGCATGCTGGGAAACTTCATACGGTTTTTATACATCTAAAAACTAAATTAGGTTTAAAGGAGTAGTTCACTTCAGAATTATAATCTCCTGATAGTGTACTCTCCCACACATCATCCAAGATGTTCATGTGTTTCTTTCTTCAGTGGAAAAGAAATGAAGGTTTTTGAGGAACACACTCCAGGGTTTCTCCATATAGTGTCTTCAATGGGGTCCAACGGGTCGAAGGTCCAGATGTGAGTTTCAGTGCAGCTTCAAAGTCTCGACACGATCCAGCCGAGGAATAAGAGTCTGATCTAGACAAACCAGCCGACATTTATAACAAAACTAAACATTTATATACTTTAACCACTAATGCTGGTCTTGCTCATCCACGACTTCACACGTTACGTGATCAGGGTGAAAGGTCAAGTGTGTTCCGGTTCAGAAATGTAGGGAAGGATGAAAAACTCAATTCTCATTTTTTCCTCCAACATCGTGGTTGTTTTACCTTTTATTTATGTATTTATTTTGTAAATGGCGTTTGACTCAGTCTTTGCACGTCCGCTCTGTAAACACTGGGTCGGTTCTTCCGCTTGACCTTTCACCCTGATTGCGTAATGTGTGTCGCATCACAGCTAGAGCAAGACCAGCATTAGTGGTTAAAAGTTTGTCTAGATCAGACTCTTATTCCTCGGCTGGATCGTGTCGAGACTTTGAAGCTGCACTGAAACTCACATCTGGACCTTCGGCCCGTTGGACCCCATTGAAGTCACTATATGGAGAAACCCTGGAGTGTGTTCCTCAAAAACCTTCATTTCTTTTCCACTGAAGAAAGAAACACATGAACATCTTGGATGACGTGGGGAGAGTAAATTATCAGGAGATTATAATTCTGAAGTGAACTCCTCCTTTAACTTTGTTAAAAAATTATTTCAGAGTTACCTGAATAAAAAAGGGGTTAAACCCATCACTATCTAATAAAACATGCTACAGGGATACAGGATATTGAACAATAGAACATGTTGGTGGATCTTTTCCTAAAATTAAAAACTTCTTCACTTCATTCTGTAATGGTCTATTCGGCAACTGGTATAAACAATCTGGTCCCAACGATTAGGAAAATGATAAAAACGTCTCCATAAACTCCCTGAAATAAGTCCCAATGTTGGAAGGAGTCTAGAACCCACTTTTGCTTGCCATTTGTTAAAGTGCCCCTATTATGTTTTTCAGATGTTCCCTTTCTTCCCTTCCATATAGTGTGTAATAGAGCTGTCTGTGACTGTAAGATTGACTCTGGAAGATCAAAGTGCAGATGAATGAAGTTTTTGTCTCCTAATAGAAGCGATTCTGAACTGAAACGAGCTCTCAGAGAGGCGGGGCTTAGAGAGACTGAGTCCTCGATGGCAGACACTGAGAGAAAGAGCTGAAGCTGCAGTGGAGATTATGAGGGAATTAAAGTGTTATTGATCTTGGATGAATGTGAACCTGTCGTAGGAGACGCCAAAGGAAAACCTAGGAACCTTTAAAATAGCATCATAGGGGCATTATAATATAGGAACTTTCCTGTCTCCCATTTAAAAGACCTTTAAAAACTGATAAATCCATTTCATCTGAGAGTGGACCCCAAAATGTTTTCAGCCTAGTGTACATGACACGGAAAAGCACAGCGAGGTTTCGCTGAATCACTGGTTGAGGACCGTGGGACACGGATCTCTGAGATCCTCCTGTACTGGTTTCTCTCCTGTACTGGTTTCTCTCCTGTACTGGTTTCTCTCCTGTACTGGTTTCTCTCCTGTACTGGTTTCTCCCCTGCACTGGTTTCTCCCCTGCACTGGTTTCTCTCCTGCACTGGTTTCTCCCCTGCACTGGTTTCTCCCCTGCACTGGTTTCTCTCCTGCACTGGTTTCTCCCCTGCACTGGTTTCTCTCACCTGTGTGGGTGTGCTGGGAGAGGTAACTGGAGCAGGGCACGGGCCGTCCTGCAGGGAAAAGTGTGCGATGAAAACGATCAGCTTGGCGAAGGCTCCGCGGACCTCTGCGCTGGGACACTCCAGCAGGAACTCGGAGAAGCGCGTGGGGAAGGAGAACAGCACGCTGTGGGCTAGCCAGCTGCGCACGCTCTTGCTGTGCCGCAACAGGAGACACAGGGCGTCATACCTGGAGGAGAAGCAGAGAGAGGGGTCAGGTGACACACACACCTGGACCGGCCACTGGACCCAGACCAGACACACCAGTGCTGCAACACAGCACTCACGGCTCGGATCATTTACGGCTTTAGAGCTACGGATCGGATCATTTAAAATTAAAATTAATAAAAATAATAATTTAAATATATATAGTAGTTTTTGATGTGGTATCGAAGAACTTCAAGTGAGCTTGTAAAAGTAATTTGGAATTAGGCTACACATTTCACCGTTTTCATTTTTGAGGGAAATGTCTTGTTTTCATAATGTAGAGAATGGGTTAATTTATGACAAATAGCCTATAAAAACATCAGGAAACTAGATTCGTTAAGATAAACCGAGCATTCGAGCTCTAGGAGACATCGAGACTATACGAGACATTCTCTAGATCTGTACTTGTATATGAAAGTGCAATAATTCTGATGAAATGCAAATATACATTCCTCAAATGACAACAATTTAAGCAAAATAATCGTTAGCCTATTATCAATTTACCCATAATGCAGCATGACGCAAATATGACTAAGTTTTCATTGACTAAAACGCCCAGGCTTTTAGTCGACTAAATCTTGACTGAATGTAAACAGGGCAAGGTTGACTAAATATGATAAAACCAGTAAGTACATCTGACAGAGGACTGAGACACACACTCCACACACACACACCACACACACACACACCACACACACACCACACACACACCACACACACACTCCACACACACACACCACACACACACTCCACAGACACACACCACACACACACTCCACACACACACACCACACACACACTCCACACACACACACCACAGACACACTCCACAGACACACACACTCCACACACACACACCACACACACACTCCACACACACACACCACACACACACTCCACACACACACACACACACACACTCCACAGACACACACACTCCACACACACACTCCACACACACACACACACTCCACAGACACACACTCCACACACACACTCCACACACACACACCACACACACACTCCACACACACACACCACACACACACTCCACACACACACACTCCACACACACACACCACACACACACTCCACAGACACACACACTCCACACACACACACCACACACACACTCCACACACACACACTCCACACACACACACTCCACACACACACACTCCACACACACACACACACTCCACACACACACACACACACTCCACACACACACACACACACTCCACAGACACACACACTCCACAGACACACACACTCCACACACTCTCCACACACACTCTCCACAGACACACACTCCACAGACACACACTCCACAGACACACACTCCACAGACACACACACTCCACAGACACACACACTCCACACACTCTCCACACACACTCTCCACACACACACTCCACAGACACACACACTCCACAGACACACACACTCCACAGACACACACACTCCACACACTCTCCACACACACTCTCCACAGACACACACACTCCACAGACACACACACTCCACAGACACACACACTCCACAGACACACACACTCCACAGACACACACACTCCACACACACTCCACACACACTCCACACACACTCCACACACACTCCACACACACTCCACACACACTCCACACACACTCCACACACACTCCACACACACTCCACACACACTCCACACACACTCCACACACACTCCACACACACTCCACACACACTCCACACACACTCCACACACACTCCACACACACTCCACACACACTCCACACACACTCCACACACACTCCACACACACTCTCCACACACACTCTCCACACACACTCTCCACACACACACTCCACACACACACACTCCACACACACACACTCCACACACACACACTCCACACACACACACTCCACACACACACACTCCACACACACACACTCCACACACACACACTCCACACACACATTCACACTCCACACACTCCACACACTCCACACACTCCACACACTCACACACTCCACACACTCCACACACACACTCCACACACACACTCCACACACACACTCCACACACACACTCCACACACACACTCCACACACACACTCCACACACACACACTCCACACACACACACACTCACTCCACACACACACACTCCACACTACACACACACTCCACACTCCACACACACACTCCACCCACACTCCACACACACTCCACACACACTCCACACACACTCCACACACACTCCACACACACTCCACACACACTCCACACACACTCCACACACACTCCACACACACTCCACACACCTCCACACACACTCCACACACACTCTCCACACACACTCTCCACACACACTCTCCACCCACACACACTCCACACACACTCTCCACACACACTCTCCACACACACTCTCCACACACACTCTCCACACACACTCTCCACACACACTCTCCACACACACTCTCCACACACACTCTCCACACACACTCTCCACACACACTCTCCACACACACTCTCCACACACACACTCCACACACTCACACACTCCACACACTACACACACTCCACACACTCACACACTCACACACTCCACACACTCACACACTCCACACACTCACACACTCCACACACTCACACACTCCACACACTCACACACTCCACACACTCCACACACTCACACACTCACACACTCCACACACTCCACACACTCACACACACTCCACACACTCCACACACTCACACACTCCACACACTCCACACACACTCCACACACTCAGCTGCCTCACCAGTCAGTCGCCGGGCCTCGGACCGCCTTCTTCGTGTGGAAGCCGGTGCTGAACAGAAACCGGGCCGCGAGCTGTACGCTTATCATCGCTATCTCTTCAGCCTCCGGCAACAGGTGATCTTGACCTAGAAGAACCAGAGAAGAGGAGCATCTCAACCCATCAGACGTTTACAGATCCCCGACACAGAGCCACGGACTGAGGCTCGTCCACACACACACACGGCTTCTATAAACGGAGCTCTTCCTCCACACTCGCGTCCACATGAAAACACGCTGTCAAACCAACAGGTGGCGATATAACCCTAACCGTAAAGCACTGTTGGCCAATCAGAAGCCTGGAAAAATGGTTATTACCGGCTCCGGTTCTGACGTCACGAGCCAAAGTCTTCACCCTGGCAGGAGCGAGCGATCGTGCGTTTGCGTGTGGACCAGGGTTTCTGCACACTTTTTAAAGTAAAATTTAAGACCTTTTTAAGACCCGAAGAAATCAAAATTAATACTGTGCATTAGAGGTGTGCAATATTGACAAAAATGTGTCTCGATATTTTCAAAGTTTTGTTGATAATAATTAGATCATAATTAGATCAACCATGGCTGGTTTAGGCCTGTTGTTGACCGCTGACTCACGAAGATATTACCGTAATATTTTTCATATTCTACGCAGTGGTCAGTTCACAGCAGTGGCAGAAATTAATATTTTTTATTAAGGGGTAATATTTGCCCCCTTATATTGACTTCCAGGGGCATTTTCACCTATATATGGACATTTGTAGATGTATGCATCACCTTTTACGTCCAATTCTAACATTCAAATTAAATTCATTTAGAATAATAACACAACACCACTGTTACCAGTCAAATGAAATCATTAAATCAAAAGACATCTTTTTAAGGATCCGCGTAAACCCTGGTGGACGACCGGCTCCCCGTGCTCGTGTGCACTGGCCTGAGGTCAGCCTCTGCTCACCTGGAGGAGGGTTCAGGTATACGCTGTTGCAGGTCAGCAGCTTCTTCATGAACTGGAAGTACTCGAGGCTGAACTGCATGCGGCTGTGCATGAACTGCACGTTCTGCTTGCGGACGCTGGCCTCGATGGCCGAGGGCATCTTGGGTTGGTTGGGCCGGGACGCGAGCGTGAGTTCGGTGATGTACTTCAGCAGCTCGTCGTCGCCCCCTGTGGCGTCCATGCGCTCGTAGAACAGAATATACGCGTTCCACCAGCGCTTCTGCCGCCGGTACGACATGCGCTTCATCATGTGATCGAACACCTCGCCCATGTACTCTCCACCAAAGCACTGGTTCTTCATCTCCTCGTCGTCGTCCATCTTACACTCCGTCACGTCACCGTCGTCAAACTTGTACCAGCGGTCCTTCAGCCCGTCGCCGTCGCTGCCGTGGCGCTGGACGATGTAGGAGTAGTAGTGTCCGCCGCTAGCCTGACCCGAGTGCACTAGCACGCCCACGAGCCTGTAGCGCGAGCTAGCGTCGGGATTCGCCGGGGGGTTCTCCGCGATGACCTGGCTCTCCGGCGGAACCTCGTCCCCCTCCAGCTTCGCCACGCCGGCCACCGTGTACGGCTCCATGTCCAGCTCGCGGGGGAACTCGAAGTAATCGTTGAACTTGATGGCACACTCGCGCTCCCAATCGTAGTCGAAGCGCTTCAGCTGGATGGCTAACACCGGCGGGAGCTTCTTTATGAGCAGACGCTTCACTGTGTCCACCTGACGGAAAACCACACGAGAGATAGAGAGATTTATTTAATAACAGGTCAGCATCTAAAAATGTAATTAGAAAAATACAAATATCAATGAAACCAAGCTAACAAACACAACAAGTCATATTATACAAATTAACATATGATTAAAAAATCCCAAACCTTTTCAGGCATAATCTTACTAAATAAGTTCTTAAGTGAAATAACTTCATGAAAGAGCATTCTACATGTATTAAACCCAGGACAGTCCAATAATACATGTTTAACAGAGAGGGGATCTTACGAGACACACATAGAGTTGCGTCTTCACCTTTAAGCAAAAAGCATGAGTGAAAACCACAGGAAAACGTCACTAATTTGTCCTGTACAGAAGATTGGGAGATTCAGGGAACACATCCCACCTTCTTGTTGCACTTCTCACAGTGGTACGCGTTGGCTCCTTCCAGAAGATCCCCTTTGACATACTGTTCTAGAGAGTCCAGGAGGTTCTGGTGGTTCCGGATGTCCACGTTCAGCGTTGTGAAGGATTCCTCACACTCATACCTATGAACACACCAGTGTTAATCTCGTTGACGAATCATTTTCCTCATTGACATTATTTCACAGACGAGAACTAAATAAAAACCAGTGTTGAATGACAAAAACTATGACGAAAATCTATTGACACAAATCTATTGCGCACACACACACACTCGAACGGAGGACTGAACTGAGCTCTCTTTCGCGTCTGAATGGACAAACACACACAACATTGAGTCTTAATGCCCGTTTGAAGAGTATTCCCGTAAACACCGTCGGTTATGTCAGAACGTGCACAGTTGTGGGAATATGGGATGTGCATCAGCGCATTGGATCCGCGCATTCGGTCTTAAAGTGACAGTGCGTAATAAAGCTAGTGCGTCTGTGCCCTTAACAATCAAACAACAAAAGAAAAAGAGAAAAGCATTTACTGCTCTTTAATAAGGATTCATTATATTTATACAAATAAATATGTCTGCTTGAAAGAATAAAGAATGATGTATGCAAGTTGTTATAAAGAATGCATAAATCATTCATTGAGAAGAAGACCGTGTATGTCACAGTGCTAAATCTGTGTCTGAATTGCATGTTCAAACTTTAAAACCATTCAAATTAACAGGTTAATAGATGTGCATCTCTACTCAGAATGATTGCCATCACCTGTGAGGACAACCCTGACAGATCTTCTGGTCTGCAAACGAGCCGCCCAAGATCCTGCTGAGCATGCTGGGATGCCCGAGGGCCTTCAGCGCCTCGTCCAGGCTGTCCACCAGCGAGTTGAAGAACTCGAGCGCGTCGTGCTGTTCTCTCAGATTCACCGGTTCCCCCCATAACCTGCAGGAACGATTGAAACGCAGTGTCTTAACACGGATAATGACTGTTCACAGACACATTTCCCATCAGCCACTACTCTAACAAACGCCTCAAACTCAAGCTGTGTCTGGATATTAATCCGGGAAATGAGAAAGTACACAAATTACTAACTTTAACTTTATATAACACACAAAATCTGATTCTGCTGTGGCCGATGTACACAGACACCGCCAGAATAACATTATTACCAGTGATGAATGCGAACAGAGTTTACATGAATGAACGAATAATTCAAGCACCTTTTCATAAAAATGGCTGTTCTCCAGAACTTAAACTTCAGAAACTCAAGCACTTTAAGCACGAGCCCTGCACACGGCATTACGCCACACTTTCCCGTTTTGCTGTGACTGTATTATTAGGGTGTGTGTAACTCTCAGTGTAAGCCGATGTGCTCCAGAAGCGGACTCTAGAGGCGTGAGTACCTGAACTGCTTCCAGAAGCCGCGGGGCACGTAGTACTGCAGCCGGGACGCCGCCAGGTGCCCGAAGATCACCTGCAGATGCCGGAGCACGCCGATGTTGTACTCCTTACGGTCCTCCGCCTTATTGAGAGAGGGCTTGTCATCACACTGCTGACGACAACTGAACACATCATCCCTGGGGTCCACATTACTCTGCAGAGCAACACCCGCGCGAGCGTGAGCAACACTCAGCCGCCTCGCTCCGCACCAGAGCCGCCACACCGTCAGTCCGAATACGGCTATATGTGAATCCGATTGGAATCTGATCTAAAATGATTGATGTCTCGCAACGGTTCAAATCTGATGTGTGTGTTCATGACGCTCCTTCCTTTTCCGGAATATCGGCATTGGTTTCTATGGCAATGATGATGCATCAAAATATATATATGGCAAAAACAACAACAGCCGCAACATGGAGGGGTTTGCAATAGATGTTGGCTTATTTGAATTATACAACACTTTGTTCACTTTGCAACAACACAGCATTGTTTTGGCGGCGACTTTCAGCACATTTCACGCGGTGTGAGACAGTCACAGAAACCACGCGGAATCGAGTTGATTTTCAGAAATGAAATTTAAATTGGATTTCAAACCAAGTCAAGTCATCTTCATTTATATAGCGCTTTAAACAATATAGATCGTTTCAAAGCAGCTTTACAGAGATAGCAGTTAACAATAGAAAACAGTGATAATGAATGATCTTGGCTTAGTGTAATGACTAACCCTAACCCAGCTCTAGAGTAAAGTTATTGTCCAGCTAAAGTTACATTTGATCGATTCACTTCCGTTGTAAAGATCATTAGTGATTACCTTAGCGGCCGCTAACACGACACCGCTCTACAGAAACCCTTAACGCGCTCATACCACACGTGACCCGGACCACAGACCCAGTCTCGGGTCGCGCGGTACATCTGTGGCCATAGCAACAACACTGTACGGGTCAAAGTTATAGATTTTTCTTTTATGCCAAAAATCATTAGGATATTAAGTAAAGATCATGTTCCAATAAGATATTTTGTAAATTTCCTACCGTAAATATATAAAACATTTATTTCTGTGAGTGAATGCAGCAAATCACGGACACTAATGACCAACTTTACAGGGGATTTTCTCAATGTTTAGATTTTTTGCACCGTCAGATTCCAGATGTTCAAATAGTCTCGGCCAAATATTAATGTCCTAACCTAACAAATCATACATCAATGTAAAGCTTATTTATTCAGCTTCTCAATTTAAAAAACTGACCCATGTGACTGGTTTTGAGGTCCAGGGTCACATGTGAATGTAGCTTGAAACGGATTTGTAAAGATCGGATGTCATGTGATTTTTAACCGTTCACACTCTAAATCTGATCGGATTCCAACCGTATTTGCATAAGAGCCGTATTAGTCCTGACAGCCTGCCCGAGGCCTGAGGGTTCTGGGTGCGGTCGAGTGACACGCTTTACCTCGTGGTCCTGCTTCTCGTCCCCGGACGTGTCGTCGTCGATGTCGCTGCCGGTGCCCTCGATGGCCAGGAGCCCGTTGCGGATGTGCGGGATCATGTAGAGCTGCTGGATCACCGAGTTCATGTAGCACGTGGCTCCCGCGTTCTTCAGGCCCACGAAGCCTTTATTCGGCCTCGGCCCCACCGGTGGAAGATACTCCCACTCCGTCAGAGCCTCGCAACCTGAGACACACGCATGTGTTACTAACATGAGCCGCCCATGAAACAGCAGCAGAACGCATTTATGGTTCACTTCAGAGAGGCTTCACGTGAACGAGGCTCTTTAGCTGTGCTTCCACCAAAGACGCGAGTTTAACTAATGCATAAAGTTGCAATAAAGCATAAAACATCTGCGAATAAAGCAGCGTTTCCATCTCATGTGTTCAAGGGAACGAAACCGTCACTAAATATCAGTGATAAACTGAGTTTCTGCAATCGGCTGTGTTCCCTCCATCATGAGCGAGTGTGTGTCGAGCGTCATCATGAACGAGTGTGTGTCGAGCGTCATCATGAACGAGTGTGTGTCGAGCGTCATCATGAACGAGTGTGTGTCGAGCGTCATCATAACGAGTGTGTGTCGAGCGTCATCATGAGCGAGTGTGTGTCGAGCGTCATCATGAACGAGTGTGTGTCGAGCGTCATCATGAACGAGTGTGTGTCGAGCGTCATCATGAACGAGTGTGTGTGGAGCGTCATCATGAACGAGTGTGTGTCGAGGGTCATCATGAACGAGTGTGTGTCGAGCGTCATCATGAACGAGTGTGTGTCGAGCGTCATCATGAACGAGTGTGTGTCGAGCGTCATCATAACGAGTGTGTGTCGAGCGTCATCATGAACGAGTGTGTGTCGAGCGTCATCATGAACGAGTGTGTGTCGAGCGTCATCATGAACGAGTGTGTGTCGAGCGTCATCATAAACGAGTGTGTGTGGAGCGTCATCATGAACGAGTGTGTGTCGAGCGTCATCATGAACGAGTGTGTGTGGAGCGTCATCATGAACGAGTGTGTGTCGAGGGTCATCATGAACGAGTGTGTGTCGAGCGTCATCATGAACGAGTGTGTGTCGAGCGTCATCATGAACGAGTGTGTGTCGAGCGTCATCATAACGAGTGTGTGTCGAGCGTCATCATGAACGAGTGTGTGTCGAGCGTCATCATGAACGAGTGTGTGTCGAGCGTCATCATGAACGAGTGTGTGTCGAGCGTCATCATGAACGAGTGTGTGTGGAGCGTCATCATGAACGAGTGTGTGTCGAGCGTCATCATAAACGAGTGTGTGTGGAGCGTCATCATAAACGAGTGTGTGTCGAGCGTCATCATGAGCGAGTGTGTGTCGAGCGTCATCATGAACGAGTGTGTGTCGAGCGTCATCATGAACGAGTGTGTGTCGAGCGTCATCATGAACGAGTGTGTGTCGAGCGTCATCATGAACGAGTGTGTGTCGAGCGTCATCATAAACGAGTGTGTGTGGAGCGTCATCATAAACGAGTGTGTGTCGAGCGTCATCATGAGCGAGTGTGTGTCGAGCGTCATCATGAACGAGTGTGTGTCGAGCGTCATCATAACGAGTGTGTGTCGAGCGTCATCATAACGAGTGTGTGTCGAGCGTCATCATGAACGAGTGTGTGTCGAGCGTCATCATAACGAATGTGTGTCGAGCGTCATCATAACGAGTGTGTGTCGAGCGTCATCATAAACGAGTGTGTGTCGAGCGTCATCATAACGAGTGTGTGTCGAGCGTCATCATAACGAGTGTGTGTCGAGCGTCATCATAACGAGTGTGTGTCGAGCGTCATCATAAACGAGTGTGTGTCGAGCGTCATCATAAACGAGTGTGTGTCGAGCGTCATCATGAACGAGTGTGTGTCGAGCGTCATCATAACGACTGTGTGTCGAGCGTCATCATAAACGAGTGTGTGTCGAGCGTCATCATAACGAGTGTGTGTCGAGCGTCATCATAACGAGTGTGTGTCGAGCGTCATCATGAACGAGTGTGTGTCGAGCGTCATCATAACGAGTGTGTGTCGAGCGTCATCATGAACGAGTGTGTGTCGAGCGTCATCATGAACGAGTGTGTGTCGAGCGTCATCATGAACGAGTGTGTGTCGAGCGTCATCATGAACGAGTGTGTGTCGAGCGTCATCATAAACGAGTGTGTGTCGAGCGTCATCATAACGAGTGTGTGTCGAGCGTCATCATGAACGAGTGTGTGTCGAGCGTCATCATAACGAGTGTGTGTCGAGCGTCATCATGAACGAGTGTGTGTCGAGCGTCATCATAACGAGTGTGTGTCGAGCGTCATCATGAACGAGTGTGTGTCGAGCGTCATCATGAGCGAGTGTGTGTCGAGCGTCATCGAGTGTGTGTCGAGCGTCATCATGAACGAGTGTGTGTCGAGCGTCATCATGAACGAGTGTGTGTCGAGCGTCATCATGAACGAGTGTGTGTCGAGCGTCATCATGAACGAGTGTGTGTCGAGCGTCATCATAACGAGTGTGTGTCGAGCGTCATCATAACGAGTGTGTGTCGAGGGTCATCATGAACGAGTGTGTGTCGAGCGTCATCATGAACGAGTGTGTGTCGAGCGTCATCATAACGAGTGTGTGTCGAGCGTCATCATAAACGAGTGTGTCGAGCGTCATCATAACGAGTGTGTGTCGAGCGTCATCATAACGAGTGTGTGTCGAGCGTCATCATGAACGAGTGTGTGTCGAGCGTCATCATAACGAGTGTGTGTCGAGCGTCATCATGAGCGAGTGTGTGTCGAGCGTCATCATAAACGAGTGTGTCGAGCGTCATCATAACGAGTGTGTGTCGAGCGTCATCATAAACGAGTGTGTGTCGAGCGTCATCATGAACGAGTGTGTGTCGAGCGTCATCATGAACGAGTGTGTGTCGAGCGTCATCATGAACGAGTGTGTGTCGAGCGTCATCATGAACGAGTGTGTGTCGAGCGTCATCATAACGAGTGTGTGTCGAGCGTCATCATAACGAGTGTGTGTCGAGGGTCATCATGAACGAGTGTGTGTCGAGCGTCATCATGAACGAGTGTGTGTCGAGCGTCATCATAACGAGTGTGTGTCGAGCGTCATCATGAACGAGTGTGTGTCGAGCGTCATCATAACGAGTGTGTGTCGAGCGTCATCATAAACGAGTGTGTGTCGAGCGTCATCATAACGAGTGTGTGTCGAGCGTCATCATAACGAGTGTGTGTCGAGCGTCATCATGAACGAGTGTGTGTCGAGCGTCATCATAACGAGTGTGTGTCGAGCGTCATCATGAACGAGTGTGTGTCGAGCGTCATCATAACGAGTGTGTGTCGAGCGTCATCATGAACGAGTGTGTGTCGAGCGTCATCATAACGAGTGTGTGTCGAGCGTCATCATGAACGAGTGTGTGTCGAGCGTCATCATGAACGAGTGTGTGTCGAGCGTCATCATAACGAGTGTGTGTCGAGCGTCATCATGAACGAGTGTGTGTCGAGCGTCATCATAACGAGTGTGTGTCGAGCGTCATCATGAACGAGTGTGTCGAGCGTCATCATGAGCGAGTGTGTGTCGAGCGTCATCATGAACGAGTGTGTGTCGAGCGTCATCATAAACGAGTGTGTCGAGCGTCATCATAACGAGTGTGTGTCGAGCGTCATCATAAACGAGTGTGTGTCGAGCGTCATCATAACGAGTGTGTGTCGAGCGTCATCATGAGCGAGTGTGTGTCGAGCGTCATCATGAACGAGTGTGTGTCGAGCGTCATCATGAACGAGTGTGTGTCGAGCGTCATCATGAACGAGTGTGTGTCGAGGGTCATCATAACGAGTGTGTGTCGAGCGTCATCATGAACGAGTGTGTGTCGAGCGTCATCATGAACGAGTGTGTGTCGAGCGTCATCATGAACGAGTGTGTGTCGAGCGTCATCATAACGAGTGTGTGTCGAGCGTCATCATGAACGAGTGTGTGTCGAGCGTCATCATGAACGAGTGTGTGTCGAGCGTCATCATGAGCGAGTGTGTGTCGAGCGTCATCATGAACGAGTGTGTGTCGAGCGTCATCATGAACGAGTGTGTGTCGAGCGTCATCATAACGAGTGTGTGTCGAGCGTCATCATGAACGAGTGTGTGTCGAGCGTCATCATGAACGAGTGTGTGTCGAGCGTCATCATAACGAGTGTGTGTCGAGCGTCATCATGAACGAGTGTGTGTCGAGCGTCATCATGAACGAGTGTGTGTCGAGCGTCATCATGAACGAGTGTGTGTCGAGCGTCATCATGAACGAGTGTGTGTCGAGCGTCATCATGAACGAGTGTGTGTCGAGCGTCATCATAACGAGTGTGTGTCGAGCGTCATCATAACGAGTGTGTGTCGAGCGTCATCATGAACGAGTGTGTGTCGAGCGTCATCATGAACGAGTGTGTGTCGAGCGTCATCATGAACGAGTGTGTGTCGAGCGTCATCATGAACGAGTGTGTGTCGAGCGTCATCATGAACGAGTGTGTGTCGAGCGTCATCATGAACGAGTGTGTGTCGAGCGTCATCATGAACGAGTGTGTGTCGAGCGTCATCATGAACGAGTGTGTGTCGAGCGTCATCATAACGAGTGTGTGTCGAGGGTCATCATGAACGAGTGTGTGTCGAGCGTCATCATGAACGAGTGTGTGTCGAGCGTCATCATGAACGAGTGTGTGTCGAGCGTCATCATGAACGAGTGTGTGTCGAGCGTCATCATAACGAGTGTGTGTCGAGGGTCATCATGAACGAGTGTGTGTCGAGCGTCATCATAACGAGTGTGTGTCGAGCGTCATCATAACGAGTGTGTGTCGAGCGTCATCATGAACGAGTGTGTGTCGAGCGTCATCATAACGAGTGTGTGTCGAGCGTCATCATGAACGAGTGTGTGTCGAGCGTCATCATAACGAGTGTGTGTCGAGCGTCATCATGAACGAGTGTGTGTCGAGCGTCATCATGAACGAGTGTGTGTCGAGCGTCATCATAACGAGTGTGTGTCGAGGGTCATCATGAACGAGTGTGTGTCGAGCGTCATCATGAACGAGTGTGTGTCGAGCGTCATCATGAGCGAGTGTGTGTCGAGCGTCATCATGAACGAGTGTGTGTCGAGCGTCATCATGAACGAGTGTGTGTCGAGCGTCATCATGAACGAGTGTGTGTCGAGCGTCATCATAACGAGTGTGTGTCGAGGGTCATCATGAACGAGTGTGTGTCGAGCGTCATCATGAACGAGTGTGTGTCGAGCGTCATCATGAACGAGTGTGTGTCGAGCGTCATCATGAACGAGTGTGTGTCGAGCGTCATCATGAACGAGTGTGTGTCGAGCGTCATCATGAACGAGTGTGTGTCGAGCGTCATCATGAACGAGTGTGTGTCGAGCGTCATCATGAACGAGTGTGTGTCGAGCGTCATCATGAACGAGTGTGTGTCGAGCGTCATCATAACGAGTGTGTGTCGAGCGTCATCATAACGAGTGTGTGTCGAGCGTCATCATGAACGAGTGTGTGTCGAGCGTCATCATGAACGAGTGTGTGTCGAGCGTCATCATAAACGAGTGTGTGTCGAGCGTCATCATGAACGAGTGTGTGTCGAGCGTCATCATGAACGAGTGTGTGTCGAGCGTCATCATAACGAGTGTGTGTCGAGCGTCATCATGAACGAGTGTGTGTCGAGCGTCATCATGAACGAGTGTGTGTCGAGCGTCATCATGAACGAGTGTGTGTCGAGCGTCATCATGAACGAGTGTGTGTCGAGCGTCATCATGAATGAGTGTGTGTCGAGCGTCATCATGAACGAGTGTGTGTCGAGCGTCATCATAACGAGTGTGTGTCGAGCGTCATCATGAACGAGTGTGTGTCGAGCGTCATCATGAACGAGTGTGTGTCGAGCGTCATCATGAACGAGTGTGTGTCGAGCGTCATCATGAACGAGTGTGTGTCGAGCGTCATCATGAGCGAGTGTGTGTCGAGCGTCATCATGAACGAGTGTGTGTCGAGCGTCATCATGAACGAGTGTGTGTCGAGCGTCATCATAAACGAGTGTGTGTCGAGCGTCATCATGAACGAGTGTGTGTCGAGCGTCATCATGAACGAGTGTGTGTCGAGCGTCATCATAACGAGTGTGTGTCGAGCGTCATCATGAGCGAGTGTGTGTCGAGCGTCATCATGAACGAGTGTGTGTCGAGCGTCATCATGAACGAGTGTGTGTCGAGCGTCATCATGAACGAGTGTGTGTCGAGCGTCATCATGAACGAGTGTGTGTCGAGCGTCATCATGAACGAGTGTGTGTCGAGCGTCATCATGAGCGAGTGTGTGTCGAGCGTCATCATGAACGAGTGTGTGTCGAGCGTCATCATGAACGAGTGTGTGTCGAGCGTCATCATGAACGAGTGTGTGTCGAGCGTCATCATGAACGAGTGTGTGTCGAGCGTCATCATGAACGAGTGTGTGTCGAGCGTCATCATGAGCGAGTGTGTGTCGAGCGTCATCATGAACGAGTGTGTGTCGAGCGTCATCATGAACGAGTGTGTGTCGAGCGTCATCATGAGCGAGTGTGTGTCGAGCGTCATCATGAGCGAGTGTGTGTCGAGCGTCATCATGAGCGAGTGTGTGTCGAGCGTCATCATGAACGAGTGTGTGTCGAGCGTCATCATGAGCGAGTGTGTGTCGAGCGTCATCATGAACGAGTGTGTGTCGAGCGTCATCATGAGCGAGTGTGTGTCGAGCGTCATCATGAACGAGTGTGTGTCGAGCGTCATCATGAGCGAGTGTGTGTCGAGCGTCATCATGAACGAGTGTGTGTCGAGCGTCATCATGAACGAGTGTGTGTCGAGCGTCATCATGAACGAGTGTGTGTCGAGCGTCATCATGAGCGAGTGTGTGTCGAGCGTCATCATGAGCGAGTGTGTGTCGAGCGTCATCATGAGCGAGTGTGTGTCGAGCGTCATCATGAACGAGTGTGTGTCGAGCGTCATCATAACGAGTGTGTGTCGAGCGTCATCATAACGAGTGTGTGTCGAGCGTCATCATGAACGAGTGTGTGTCGAGCGTCATCATGAACGAGTGTGTGTCGAGCGTCATCATGAACGAGTGTGTGTCGAGCGTCATCATAAACGAGTGTGTGTCGAGCGTCATCATAAACAATATTTTAGTTTGATAATGTTTTTAATTTAATATTTTTAGGAGATTTTATGGTACTAAATTATATTTACGCTGTATTTATAATCCATTACTTCACTTTTTAAATATAGACCTAAAAATTAAATGTCCGGCTGTAACTGTGGTAAACCTTGAGCGCTTTAGAGCGACAGACTGAAGTTTGATCTCTTCAGAGTCGACACTCGGCAGATTATTGCTGAAGTGAAAACGGTTTTGAAAAGTGAACTCCACAGCGCATTAACTGAAGGCGAGCCGTGCTCTTGCCTAGATAGTACATGTCCGTGAGCGTGTCGACGATCTGCTTGAGGTTCCGCACGCAGCCGACAGCGAGCGCCACGAGCAGCTCGAAGCCGGCGCTGATGGAGGCGGGACTGGTGCACACTGGGATAGCTTGCTCCGCCGGGAACTCGCCGCTCTTCACGTACTGCAGGTACACGTTAGACGCCGGGAAGATGAAGTCATCAATCAGCTCCTGTGAGACACAACACAAGTTAGCCTAGTGCACATCAGGTCATCCACCCTTTACAACAGATCTGAAAAATATATATATATGAGTAATTATAATTCTGGAAACTATAAGTTACAGTCGAATCAGCTTTATTTACACAGCGCTTTACAACAGTGTTTCAGAGCAGCTTTACTGAGATAACAGGACAATAATGCAACTCAGTGTGTTTCCAGAAGAGAACAGCGCCAGTCCAGCTTAAAGGAGAACTCCGGTCAATTTTATCATTGAGCTCATTTTGTTGTAAATTTGGAGTGCTGTCAGCACAGAGAGCAACGACAGGAATCTGTGTTTCCTACACCGTGTTATCCTCTTAGTTGATTGTCGAGTTCGCGCGCGCGATCAATGGTAACTCGACAATCAACTAGTCAAGTCATCTTCATTTATATAGCGCTTTTAACAATGGATTGTTTCAAAGCAGCTTTACAGAGATAAACATATAATCTAAGTTAACAGAGATTGTTTTGGCGTTATAGCGGTTCTTGAATAATGTTACTTCCAGCTAAAGTTAACTTTGATTGATTCACCTCCGTCGAAATGATCAGACTTTAAACTGAACCTGTGACTAACGCTGACGGCGTTCACATGCTCATTCAGAATTCTAGTTATGTGCTTTTTAAAATATGTGCGCAGGTTTGTAATTCCATACAACCCAGCCTAAACAAACTACTTGTCTTGCCTATAAATGTTGATACAGAATTTTGTTTTATTTTATCACTTCGGGGTACGCGAGCCGGAATCACAACGCTTTATCTGTAGAGTGGGAAAGGGATCCTCCATCCTCCAACTACTGTGGACTTCGACCGGAAACAGAAGTAAATACGGGTATGTGAGCTGGCTGAATAAACACTTTATTCATATCTTTTACATTTACTGCAGTCAGATTCACCGTGTTCACTCACATGGCTGTGCACTTGTAATGACACATCAAGGATGTTAAGAGGCTAAAAGCAGGTTTAAAACTTGCCCCATTGAAGTCAACAGGGTGCGAATTTTAAAAAGAGGATAACATGGTTGAAACACAGATTCCTGTCGTTGCTCTCTGTGCTGACAGCACTCCAAATTTACCAAAAAATGAGCTCAATGTTAAAATTGACCGGAGTTCTCCTTTAAGTAAGATCAGCGATGGATCATTTCTGTTGTAAGAAGGTTATTAATATAGCTCATTTATATATACAGCGGCTCTGGAGAACACCGTGATGTCATCGTCCAGCTCAGTTCTCATATAATGCAGTCAGTGCAGGAGATCAATAATATTGCTGAATGTTATATGAACAGGACCGTCACCTTTATTAGATTAGCCCCGTCTCTCTCGCAGCCGATGTAGAACTTCTTCTCGGGCGTCTGGAAGGCCAGCAGTTCTTTAGTGACGCCCAGATGGCCCTCGAGGATGGTGTCCTCCACACCCGGCTCGCCCGTCGCCTTCACCTCATCCTGAACGCACAGGAAAAGCAGAGAGTCAGAGCGCGGCTGTGAGGCCGGGCCGAAGCGTGTGAACGAGCACTCACGCGGATCCGCTTCAGCCACTCGATCTCGTTGTTGAGCAGCACCTCGGCGTTGGGCAGGTTTATGTTGCTGTTGTAGGCGTAGTTGAGCAAGTGGCGTAAGAGCGTGAAGTAATCGCCAGCGTGCTTCGCTCTTTCTTTAGCCGTACTCTGAAACAGCAGCAAGCATTATTAGCGGCATCTGAACATGTTGCATCATGGGTCAACCCTGCCACACGAGTGCTGTACTCACTCCCAGGACGGTGAAGAGGAGGGTGATGAAGAACAGCAGGGGGCGGTGTCCCATGCAGCACCTGGTGGCCATGAGGAAGAACTGCTCCTGGGCCGTCTGACGCACCGCTCTGAGGGAACACACACACACACACACACACACTCTTTAGCAACTCAATCTTCACATGTCGCAGTTTCTCATGTTAAAGGTCACGCTGATCAGCCTCAGCCCTCTGCTGCTCTTCGGCCATTTGGGTTTTTTAGAAAATGTTTCTTCATCGGAATGGTTCGAAACTTGGTGAAGGTTTTGGCACTTGCTGTGTGAACACACAAAAATCACGGCCATGATGTGAACAGGTTTAATGGTCCTGAAAACAACAGTCACACTGCAGCGGCCAATGAGCGCACTGGAAATGGAGAGAGTTTCCTCTAGTGGAAGCGTGTGGAACTGCAGCCGAACACACTCTCACTGAACGCTCCTTAACTCAGAGATCAAGATATCAGACTCGAACTCGTTTAGATTTATGGCTTTGATTTTCTTGCAGTTTTAGAGTAAAATGTGATTTTGAAAATTATATATTTCATAGAAAAATTTAAAATAGTATGTTTACACATTCTTCATAACAATAAACGTACATTTCTGTAACTTTTTTGTTCACTTTTTAAAACTGTTTTCACTTCAGCAATAATCTGCCGAGTGTCGACTCTGAAGAGATCAAACTTCAGTCTGTCGCTCTAAAGGTTTACCACAGTTTGAGCTGGACATTTAATTTTCAGGTCTACGCTCAAAAAGTGAATAAATGGATTATAAATTCAGCGTAAATATAATTTAGTACCATAAAATCCCCTAAAAATACAAAATATTAAATAAAAAACATTACCGAACTAAAAATAGTGCTATTATAGTTTATTAATTTCACTGAAATAGAGGATGTCAGTAATTTGAGCGGCACTGAAGAGCAGCAGAGGATCGTCAGCCGACACACACTGCGGTGCAGGGGGTTCTGGGAGATGCTAAAGCACCCGAACGCTAGCTCAGTAAGAGTGTTGCTGTGGACGCACTTGCTCTGGCAGTGCAGCAGCAGGTCGATGATGAAGGTCTGCCACGCCTTCTCTTTGCTGAGCGTGTCCAGGGCCGTCGGGAGCAGAGCGAAACACAAGGTCATGACCTCCAGCGCCTCACAGCACACCTGCTCGTCTTCAGCGTCAGGCTCGTTCCCCGCATTCGTCTGAGGAACAACACAAGCATGTTACAGGTGCAGTGTGGGATATTTAGGAGGATCTGCAATATCATAAACATAACTGTGTTCAGTGGTGTGTGAAGGCCTTATATAATGAACCGTTGTGTGTTTATTAGCTTAGAATGAGCGTTTCTCTCTACACACACCGCCGGTCCGCTTACATCCACGTGTTTCTACGGTGGCCCTGAGCGGACACACACGTTTCCTCACTGTGTTGTTCTTCATGATAAGAAGCTGCTAAAGTCAGCGAATAAAACACTGACACAATGATGAACAAGTAACTATAATATTCACAATAACATCGTTTTACTGAATTAAGTAGACCTAATTCTTAATGTTTGTAAAGAAACCTCATTGTTTAACTGGCTACTCTCTGCGGTCTCAGACGACGACATCACTTCCTGTCGGCCACCGCAACTTCTGTTGGGTGCAATTCACCACCTCGCCACTAGATGCCGCTAAAGGGTTAGGTCATCACACAGTGCGCCTTTAAACGAGCAACACTTTTGTGGACACTGTTTATGACTCGTGCCTTTTCGTAGATCTGGCTGATCTCTTCGTTGGAGCTGAAGACGAGGTGCACCATCCCGCATCCCGAAGCCCAGACGATCTTCTGCACCGCGCGGATCACACAGATGTCCGGGATGTACTTCGAGGCCTGGAAGAAGTTCTGTACGGTGTGGGAAAACAACAAAGATCAGTGTGAGACGCGTTTACATGATCTCATCCTGCGAGTTCAAAGCGGTGCGGATCAGCACCTCGTCGGAGATCTGCTGGGCCAATCGGATGGCCACGTTGCGCAGCATGCACTCGGAGCCGGGGTTGGGAATGTTCTGGAGAGCGTTCTGCAGAACCAGAGCCTGATCGTGAGTCGCCTGGTTGATCTGGAAGACACACAGAAAGGCACGTCAGCATGAGGGAGGGATGAGCAGTGTTGCCAGATTGGGAGGGTTCTGGGTTCACAGAATGTGGGCTGGTTTGGGGTCAAACACGTAGTGTAACAGCGTAGGCTCACTATTGGCCGACGCTGGTCATGTGATATCATCAAGCACATCAAAAATATCTTAATCTGTGTTCCGAAGATGAACGAAAGTCTTACGGGGATGAACCACATGAGGGCGAGTAATTACTGACAGAGTTTTAATCTTTGGGTGAACTATCCCTTTAACGTCTACTATCCAAGCACTTATATTGGGCACTTTTCTTACTGTTGATATTAAAAAGATGCATGTGTTTTTCCAAGGGTTAAAGTCATGGGTTCATTTCTTCTCCATCTGGACATTTTAGTCATATTTGCTCATTCGTTTTAAACTGTTTTCCTGGGAAAATAATTTATTTTTATTTGATTTAGTCATCATTATTTTGTTTTAAGGAGATAAAAATGGTGCTTATCAACCTTGACTGACATGGCAATAAAATTATATCACATTATTTTGGCAGGTTGTGTGGGGGTAAGTTGTGTCGGGGTAAGTCAGCGTGGGTAAGTTGTAGCGGGGTAAGTCAGTGGGTGAGGTTGTGTGGGGGTAAGTTGTGTCGGGGTAAGTCAGCGGGGTAAGTTGTAGCGGGGTAAGTCAGTGGGTGAGGTTGTGTGGGGGTAAGTTGTGTCGGGGTAAGTCAGCGTGGGTAAGTTGTAGCGGGGTAAGTCAGTGGGTGAGGTTGTGTGGGGGTAAGTTGTGTCGGGGTAAGTCAGCGGGGTACGATGTGTCAGGGTAACTCAGCGGGGTAAGTTGTGTCGGGGTAAGTCAGCGGGGTACGATGTGTCGGGGTAAGTTGTGTCGGGGTAAGTCAGCGGGGTAAGTTGTGTCGGGGTAAGTTGTGTCAGGGTAAGTCAGCGGGGTACGATGTGTCGGGGAAAGTCAGCGGGGTAGGTTGTGTCGGGGTAAGTTGTGTCGGGGTAAGTCAGTGGGTGAGGTTGTGTGGGGGTAAGTTGTGTCGGGGTAAGTCAGCGGGGTATGTTGTGTGGGGGTAAGTCGCACCGGAGAGGCGGGGTTGGTGCCCTCCACCACAGGCTGGCACGCCTCTGCCACTGCCTTCACGTGCCCGAACCCGATGGCGGTGAGCATGAGTTTGCTGATCTTGAGGGCGTTCAGGTAAGAGCCGCGCCTCGTCTCCATTGTCCGCACTGAGTGTACTGGAAGTCTGCTTCCTCAGTGTGCCTTCCAGTACGAGAGCGGAAGACACCACTCTTCAGAGAAGTTGTACTGGAAGTCACAGCCGTCGTCTCCACAGCGTGCCCTGGGGCATCAGCAGCTAACCCATACCTCGAGCTAACCACACACCTCAGGCTAACCACAACCCAGGCTAACCCACACCTCGGCTAACCCACACCCCGGCTAACCCACACCTCGGCTAACCCACACCCCGGCTAACCCACACCTCGGCTAACCCACACCCCGGCTAACCCACACCTCGGCTAACCCACACCTCGGCTAACCCACACCCCGCCTAACCCACACCTCGGCTAACCCACACCCCGGCTAACCCACACCCCGGCTAACCCACACCTCGGCTAACCCACACCTCGGCTAACCCACACCTCGGCTAACCCACACCCCGGCTAACCCACACCCCGGCTAACCCACACCTCGGCTAACCCACACCTCGGCTAACCCACACCTCGGCTAACCCACACCTCGGCTAACCCACACCTCGGCTAACCCACACCCCGGCTAACCCACACCTCGGCTAACCCACACCTCGGCTAACCCACACCTCGGCTAACCCACACCTCGGCTAACCCACACTCAAGGACTTCCAGGTCCAATACCCTCAAACTCAAGGACTCAATGTAGGGACATTTCATGCGAGAGCAAGGTTACATCGTGTCACCTCAGCGTTTCTGCCGCTGGTGTGTATTGGGGAAAGCGCTATACAAATAAACTTGAATTGAAGAGGAGCAGAAGCGTGACAAAATACGAAGATACCTCGGTGAGGTAGAGCACTTGTGACGCGGGCGGCCCGAAGAAGCGCGAGTCCAGAGTGGGGCTCAGACTGTTCTCTCCCAGCTTGGCGTGATCCAAGCACGTCGCCCGGAGGTTCTCCACTGTAGTGGTATCTGTGGACACAAGACACATGTTTCAGCAGCTCTCCGGGCGCCACACGGCACGCCTCGGGCTCGGCTGGTACCTGGAGGCATGAGCTTCATGAGCACTCGAGCTCCGTCTCGCAGTAGCGGCGTGTTTAGGGTGCAGCCCAGATCCGCGATCTGCCACAGGAACGAGATGTAGCGCAGGTGCAGAGACATGATCTGAGGAGAGGAGAAACACAGCTTTAACGCGTGTCAGCAGGACTGATTATTCTGCGCTTTGGATCAGACATGCAGAAAACCCCGCCTCTCTGAGAGCTGCTCTGCTCTGATTGGTCAGAAACCAAATGCTTATTATCATAACAAAAAAAACACTTTAATTCCCTCATAATCTCCACTGCAGCTTCAGCTCTTTCTCTCAGTGTCTGAAACGCTTCCATCGAGGATTCAGTCTCTCTAAGCCCCGCCTCTCTGAGAGCTGCTCTGCTGTGATTGGTCAGAAACGCTCATTATCATATCTGACTCTCAGCTCTTGATCACAGTGATACGAACAGTGGCGATGGCGTGGGTTTCACCGTCTCAATCTCAGAAAACAGCGTCTCCTCGACACGAACAACACGAGCCGAACTCTCCCAGTCTCAGATACACTAGTGTTAGAGGGCGGGGCTAAGAGACGCTGCTCAGCCAATCAACACCACAGGCTGGCATTATGCTAATGAGTTACAAACCTACGCAGGATCAGCAGAGACTGAATTACTGACGACTCGTTTCAGTTCAGAATCGCTTTCTTTTAGGAGACAAAAACTTCATTCATCTGCACTTTTAAACTTTACAGACCTTTTACATTCTCAAATAGATTTATTACATTTATTAAAAGCATAATAGGGGCACTTCAAAGATTTATAGGTTTTATGTGAGGTAACCTAAATGTAAAAACAGGAAATGTGCACATATAATAAAATTTCCATTATTATAAAGATTAAATAATCTCTAACATCGGACAAAAACAGATACATGTGGCGCAGATCCTCAGAGCTGAGGGTCACATGATGCACAAACACGGCCTCACCACTCCTGGTAAGCAGCTCTCCACCTCGGGGTTCGGGCCGTCGCTGAAGTGGTTGGCGTGGGTCCCGGGCGAGCCGGTGGACGAGTCGGACGAGCTGTCGGGGCTCGAGGGCATGTTGGCGCTGACCTGCATGAGCTTCGCCGTGATGAGCTGCAGAGAGAGCCGGGCGAGGGTTATAGCAGCTTCCCCTCAAATGTCAAAGCAGAAACATGTCTTAAAGGGATAGTTCACCCAAAAATGAAAATTAGCCCATGATTTACTCGCCCTCAAGCCATCCCTGGTGTGTATGACACTCTTCTTTCAGACGAACACAATCAGAGTTATATTACAAATTGTCCTGGCTCTTCCAAGCTTATAATGGTGGATAGTTGCACTTTTATGATGGACAGATGCACTTTTATGGACAGATGCACTTTTATGATGGACAGATGCACTTTTATGATGGACAGATGCACTTTTATGATGGATAGATGCACTTTTATGATGGATAGATGCACTTTTATGATGGACAGATGCACTTTTATGATGGACAGATGCACTTTTATGATGGACAGATGCACTTTTATGATGGATAGATGCACTTTTATGATGGACAGATGCACTTTTATGATGGACAGATGCACTTTTATGATGGACAGATGCACTTTTATGATGGACAGATGCACTTTTATGATGGACAGATGCACTTTTATGATGGACAGATGCACTTTTATGATGGACAGCTGCACTTTTATGATGGATAGATGCACTTTTATGATGGACAGATGCACTTTTATGATGGATAGATGCACTTTTGATGGACAGATGCACTTTTATGATGGACAGATGCACTTTTATGATGGATAGATGCACTTATGATGGATAGATGCACTTTTATGATGGATAGATGCACTTTTATGATGGACAGATGCACTTTTATGATGGATAGATGCACTTTTATGATGGATAGTTGCACTTTTATGATGGACAGATGCACTTTTATGATGGATAGATGCACTTTTCTGATGGATTGATGCACTTTTATGATGGACAGATGCACTTTTATGATGGATAGTTGCACTTTTATGATGGATAGTTGCACTTTTATGATGGATAGATGCACTTTTATGATGGACAGATGCACTTTTATGATGGATAGATGCACTTTTATGATGGATTGATGCACTTTTATGATGGACAGATGCACTTTTATGATGGACAGATGCACTTTTATGATGGACAGATGCACTTTTATGATAGACAGATGCACTTTTATGATGGATAGATGCACTTTTATGATGGACAGATGCACTTTTATGATGGATAAATGCACTTTTATAATGATAGATGCACTTTTATGATGGACAGATGCACTTTTATGATGGATAAATGCACTTTTATAATGATAGATGCACTTTTATGATGGATAAATGCACTTTTATAATGATAGATGCACTTTTATGATGGATAAATGCACTTTTATGATGGATAGATGCACTTTTATGATGGATAAATGCACTTTTATAATGACAGATGCACTTTTATGATGGACAGATGCACTTTTATGATGGATAGATGCACTTTTATAATGATAGATGCACTTTTATGATGGATAGATGCACTTTTATGATGGATAGATGCACTTTTATGATTGATAGTTGCACTTTTATGATGGACAGATGCACTTTTATGATGGTAAATCATGGGCTAATGTTCATTTTTGGGTGAACTATCCCTTTAAATGACAGAAGTGTGTAAAGCTCACAGTTTTATCCTTGAGGTTCAGCTGTCCAATCAGCCGGCGGTCGTCAGCAGGGTCCACGATCTCTCCTCCAATGAACAGCTCCACTTTGGTGTGTGTGCTGTTGGCTTTGATGCGGGCGAGAACGCAGCGGCGCACGGAGCCGATGGTGTCGTTGGTGTGAGACCAGATGTCCAGGTCGTCCACCTGACGCCCCTGATTGGGGAACCGCACCACCAGGGTGATGTGCTTCCCACGGAAGGCCCTGGAACGCACGACAAAATAAAAGAGCATGTCAAACCTTTCGTCCTCGTTTGGCTACACGTGTTCATCGAGCCTGTCATGAACTGATAATTCACCTTATTTTCTTAATGCACATTATAAATCTTATTGAAAACAATGAATCTGTGCATGTTTCCTTTTTTTTAAAGTTTTGACCTTAATGTTTAATCAGACTGTCGTAACTGGATCTTCTGGTGACGTATGCAGGATTCTCCAATCATTTAGTGGGAATAAGCTCCGCCCCTACAAGCTCACGCTCATCTGCATACACTTCTGAGTGCCACGCCCACATCTCAACATCCAATCAGCAACTGATGCACGCAACAGAGTCCCTCAACATTTCTTCTTTTTCTATAATCACTTACACTACAGAACAAAAGATCTTTAACCCTCATCCTTCCCTCGGGTCATTTTGAACCGAAACTCTTAAATTAAAAAAATTGAGTGTTCATCAGAGAGGTCCAAGACCCCAGGACTTTTGTCGCACTTGAACCACGAATACACAACAAATATTTAATGGATTCAAGGAGTTTAGTGGTTGAAATCTAAAAAAGTAACAAATCCTTCCCTTTCGGGTCAATCTGAGCCCCTTAGGAATGAATGGAAATAAAAATGCTAAAAATTCAAACTAAAAACGCTAAAACTTTACGAAAAAAATATTTTATAATGTGCACATGTGTATGTGAATGCACACTGAAGAGAAACTGGCTTTAGGACCCAGCGGAACAGCTCCTCTGCTCCATATAGAGCTATAAGCCCATCTAGAGGCATGAAATATCATGTGTTATTATTTATTTCCCACAAGAGGATCAGCAAAGACTCCCAATGTAAGATATTTAGAGCTGAATTAAAAGGGTTATGCATGAAATTATGAGAAAGAATGTGAGGAATGTGCTTAAATTACCATTTATTTATTTTTTATAGATCAAATCTAGTCATTTAAAGGTAAATAAAATACAAATAAATATTGCATTCATTTTTATTTTATTTTTTAAATCAAAATGAAATAAAATAAGGTTTCTGAAAAGAAAAAAAAAGGTATAATTTTAGGGTTTCGGGTCATTTTGACCCGCGAGGGAAGAATGTGTTACAAAGTGCGAGGGAAGGATGAAAGAAGTTGCTCTCGTCTTTTCTCCCATTCAGTGCCGTATGTCCGAGTGAAACACATGTGGGCGGGGCTTGATTGGATGGTTGTGGTTTGCTATTGGTGGAGTGACAGGTTGCCCCGCCCTCAGAGAAGAGAAGCGATTGGCTGATAGAGGGAGGGGATGTTGAGGGACTGACTCCACTGTTGTCGACCCCGTGACCTTGAACCACAGGAAGGGCTCATATGTGTGTGTATCAGCACCTGGACATGGGCAGGATGGTCCTCTCCTCATGGTAGTCGCTGTCACACTCGTTGATGTACTCTTTGAGCACCGTGAGGACCCGCACCATGCGTATGCCCTCCTGTCTGGCACAGTTAATGCTGTCCTTGTCTCCGTCCAGAACACACAGCGTGTCGTACGAGGCCTTGAGCCGGTCGAAGCACGACTGGATGAAGTCCTCATGGATCTCCACCTGTGAACACACACAGCAGCGGGTCATGTAGAGCTCGGCTGTGCTGACGGGTGCCGCTCGGCAGGAAGGACGGGTCACCTGATTCACTTGTAGTTTTGGTCCGAGGTTGGTGTATATCTCTTTCAGCAGGTCTATGGCCCGTGTGGCGATGTCATCACTGCCTTGAATCACAACCTGCGGACAGAAAACAGCAGAGAATCTCCCGTTTCATTTAGTGTCACTGATGAAATCAATGATAACAAAGGTGTGCGTCAGCCTTTTCACAGATTTGCGTTTACGCGGAGATGCTAACGTTTAAAAAAAAATTCACCGCTTGCACCTTGGAACCTATTTCAAGGTTCCAAGGACTGAACTATCCCTTTAAAATCGTGATAATATCATATCGTGGCTTAATATATTCCCAGCCCTATGTAATGTAAATGTAGTGCAGTGACAGACGCGCATGTGTCTCGATAGGGTTAATGCTAGTGCGGTGCAGTGACGTCACACTGATAGGCTTAATGCTAGTGCAGTGACGTCACACTGATAAGCTTAATGCTAGTGCGGTGACGTCACACTGATAGGCTTAATGCTAGTGCAGTGACGTCACACTGATAGGCTTAATGCTAGTGGAGTGACGTCACACTGATAGGCTTAATGCTAGTGGAGTGACGTCACACTGATAGGCTTAATGCTAGTGGAGTGACGTCACACTGATAGGCTTAATGCTAGTGGAGTGACGTCACACTGATAGGCTTAATGCTAGTGGAGTGACGTCACACTGATAGGCTTAATGCTAGTGGAGTGACGTCACACTGATAGGCTTAATGCTAGTGGAGTGACGTCACACTGATAGGCTTAATGCTAGTGCGGTGCAGTGACGTCACACTGATAGGCTTAATGCTAGTGCGGTGACGTCACACTGATAGGCTTAATGCTAGTGGAGTGACGTCACACTGATAGGCTTAATGCTAGTGGAGTGACGTCACACTGATAGGCTTAATGCTAGTGCAGTGACGTCACACTGATAGGCTTAATGCTAGTGGAGTGACGTCACACTGATAGGCTTAATGCTAGTGCAGTGACGTCACACTGATAGGCTTAATGCTAGTGCAGTGACGTCACACTGATAGGCTTAATGCTAGTGGAGTGACGTCACACTGATAGGCTTAATGCTAGTGCAGTGACGTCACACTGATAGGCTTAATGCTAGTGTGGTGACGTCACACTGAGTGGTTCAGGGCTTTACCCTCCACAGGTAGTCGAGCCCGATCAGCTCGAGGTCGTCCATCATGTAGGCCCTGCGTTTGGCCACCAGCTTCCCCTCTCTGCAGTTCACGGCTTTGAAGAAGCGCTCGAAGCACTTCATGCCGTTCTCCGTCAGCAGCGTGGGGTCCAGTTGCAGCACGTTGTTCTCGAAGAAGTCCTTGTTGATATCGGGGTCCAGATCCGGCTCGTCACCCATGAGTTTGGAGTACCACTTAAAGCAGGCCTCGCGATCGCACAGGAACACGGCGTTCTCCGCCAGACACTTCCAGATCTGCTTCGCCTGAGGAGCACAGAGCCACAGCTGGCCGTCCTTCAGCAGAAACCTGGACACACGGCACAGGGTTAGTGGTGCGAGAGCAGCAAACACACTCCTCAGAGCGATTCTGCAGAGTGAGTGTGTGTATCAGTTTGTTGTCTAAAGTACCGACTTCGGCACCAAGTCGGTACTGAATTTTAAATGTGACGCTTTGAGCGCTGTTGAGCGGAATCGTAAACGCCTCTGATTGGCCGTTGTGTTCACGCGCTCATCGGATATGTCTGTGATTGGCTACAATGATGAGCGATTCAAAAACACGTTGTAAATATACATCACTGAGGCTCTTCAGCGAGCGCTTACACACACACACACGCGAGTGTGCTTTCAAACGCCTCCCGTCCGCTGATCATTGTAGCCAATCACAGACATATCCGATGAGCGAGTGAACACAGCGGCCAATCAGAGGCGTTTACGATTCCACTTGCACTCAAAGCGTCACATTTTTTAAATTTCAGTGCCGACTTGGTGCCGAAGTCGGTACTTTAGACAACACAAGTGTGAGACAAGAGCATCACTGACCGCAGGAAATTGAGTCTCTCTTGCACTTCCTGTACGTGGCTGTACCGGCTGCCCACCCGAACCGTCTGAGGATCGAATCCTGGAGACTCTGAGACAAAACATTACAATAGGAAGGTTTACATCAAGGCGAGTCAGCTTTATTTACACAGCGCTTTACAACAGAGTTTCAGAGCAGCTTTACTGAGATAACAGGACAATAATGCAACAGTTTATTTCCAGAAGAGAACAGCGCCAGTCCAGCTTAAGTCAGTTCAGCGATGGTTCATTTCTGTTGTAAAAAAGTTATTAAATGTAGTTCATTTATATATATAGCGGCTCTGGAGAAAACCGTGATGTCATCGTCCAGTTCAGCTCAGCTCTCATATAATGCAGGAGATCAATAATATTGCTGAATATTAGTAATTTTATAAAGTTTAAAACATGCACTAATTTTCGTCAATCTGAATGAATTCAAGCTGATTTCAGATTCTGAAAATTATTTTTATATGAACCCTAAATTGTGCGACCTGATTCACGTTTGTTAACATCATGTGCATTACATCTGAGCATGCGTAGTTCCAGTCATCGCGCTCAGAATGGGAATGTGCTACATCGAGCGTTTAATTATTTGCCTTGAGGACATATCTAATAAGAAAGCTGACATATGTCGAAATTATCAAATATTCAATCTCTTCCACTGACTAGTTCATAAGGCATAAATAAACACATGCATGTTCGTAATGTGTGAAGCGTATCTGCACCGCACATGCGAGCAAGATATTTATGCATCAGAATGAAAAAGTCGGATTCAAGCCTTTAGATTTTCCCCAGTGATAGGAATGTTTCAGGTCTACTGGACACCTTTAAATCGGGCCAACTGGTGCGTTTACATGAGGGCTCTTCAATCCCATTACTAATGGGTTATTTGGGTGACTGTAAACGTAGCATGTCAGCTTCAGAATCTGAGATGTGATGCGCTTGCCGATAGATGACACTGACCTTTGGAGAACTGCCTCATGTTCTCCATGTACGCCGACAGGTTCTCGGCCACCAGCGTGACGAGCGCGTGATTGTGCTGAAGCTGGTTGATCAGATCGTGGCGGTAGAAGACATGTGGACTCCTCTGCGTCTGACTGCTCCAGAGACAAACCACACACACACACACACACACACACGCACACACACACGCACACACACACACACACAAACACACACACACACACGGTTCGTAAAGATACTGTAAAATGAAATTCCAGGACTTTTAAGGACTTTTCAAGCACTACTTTTTGGGGTTTTTAAGGACTTCAATCTGAGATCTCACTTAGTATCTTTTAAATTCTAAAAAAGGTAAACAGATAATAAAAAATATACTAATAAAACAAAATGGTAAAAATAAAGTGCAGCACATGCGACGACTGCTGGAACTTTAACCACTGAAAGGACACTATGACTAAGATATCGCTTTATTCAAACGGATTTTTTTTTTCATGAATATATGATTGACTTGAAGAATAAAAGCTGTATCATATACTATTTATAAGAGCAATATCACATTAATAGCCATGCGAAATGCCTCTATATCAGACGGGTCGCAGCGTTCATTTTGTGTGAAAAGATTGTTTTATCGATAAAATTAAACATTAATTTCACATATCTTGCCTTTCAATAATTCAAGCACTTTTCATAAATATGGCTGTTTTCCAGGACTTCAGAAAGCCCTTGTAGGAGCCCTGCACACACACAGATGAGGCACCCGGAGTGTGTGTGGTTCAGACGCCTGCTCAACGCACCTGAGGTTCTGAGGAGCTTCTCCAAACAGGCTGCAGATCTCCCTGATCTGCTTCAGAGCCGGAATGACCCACTTATCGTTCGTGCGAAGCTCCTCGATGAAGCGGTCGATCCACTGCATCTTCTGCGTGTCACGGTCCTGTACAACAGCAAGCCAACTCTGTTTACATAGCACGTTTCATACACTATGGCAATTCAAAGTGCACAGAAAGGAATGAAAATAATCACAAAATGAACGGAAGCAAAATTAAAAGAGTTATAAAAGGAATTTAAAGAGTAACAATATGATGCATAGAGAAACTTCTCATCTGGCAAAACACCGGTGTATAATTTTACTCTGAGATTTTACTCCGCAGAAAGAAACCTAGCGGTGAGAGCGAGTGGGAACTCTGACCTGAGAGCAGCTGTAGTCCAGGATCTTGATGTGTGCGCTCAGGGCCTGGTCCATGATGTCCACCGGCACGTCGTCGCTGTGAGCCAGGTTCCACAGCAGGTTCAGCACTTTATGGGCCATCACTCCGTCCTTGTCGTCCTCGGCGAGCCTGCGGATCAGCTCCAGGAGCTTCTCACGCTGCTTCTTACTCGCGTTCGTCCAGCTCGCCTGCGGGCCGCCAGACCAGAGGCACTCATTACAAACAACCTTTTTAAGTAACGCATTACTTGTAAAATTTACAACAAAATATCTGAGTTACTTTTTTCAAATAAGTAACGCAAATCACTTTGTTTTCACATTTACTGACTGACAGCTCTCCTGTTGAAGTGCAGAGGGGTTGTGTGTGTGTGTGTGTGTGTGTGTGTGTGTAAACATGATGGTAATTGTAGTTCTAGACTACATGTGAGAGTGCATTTACTCATCTCACTTGCACAAAAAAAGCTTCAATATTCCTCAAAATGAATAAAATCAGTGCAATGCAGAATCAGAATACTATGCAAACCCCCAATAACTAAAAATGTTAAACAAAACAAATTTTTTTTATGCATTTAATCTCACTTTATTGACCATAATGGCCACCGTACTCTACTGTACAGGAGTGAATCTGCATTTCCTTCAGCCTGAGGATCATTATTTCACTTTTCGTGTGAAAGGGTCTTTATATTTGCCCAAAATATAACTTTAACTTTTATAACTATAATATATAACTATAAATATAAAACTATAATGTTTTTGGTTATAAAAAAAACAAGCCAAGCCTAGGTGGGGAAAAAGTAACGCAAAAGTAACGTAACGCATTACTTTTCTAAAAAAAAGTAACTAAGTAACGCAATATTGTAATGCATTACTCTCACAGTGAGTTCCCCACCCCTGGCTAAGGAGTGTCATCAGCCTGCGCCACACACACGCGCGCCGCTACCTTGAAGCAGTCGAACAGGTGGTCGAGCTGCTCCGGGGAGAAGTCCCACGCCAGCTTGGCCAGCAGATCATGCATGTTCTTCACGATCGCTTCATGTTTACCCGCCTGAGGAGACAGCACAGAGATCATTCACACACACTCGTCCACAGCAATGAAAGCAATCGAGCTGGATCAGAAGGGAACTGTGCTGGACCATTTCCACCACACCAGTCGAGTCAGCTTTATTTACACAGCGCTTTACATCAGAGTTTCACAGCAGCTTTACTGAGATAACAGGACAATAATGCAACACAGTGTGTTTCCAGAAGAGAATAGCGCCAGTCCAGCTTAAGTCAGTTCAGCGATGCTTCATTTCTGTTGTAAAAAAAGTCGACAGCATTGCTGAGTATTTCCTCCTTAAAACTGCAGTGAACCAAAGACAGTCTCAAAAACACGGTTTGAAATCGCTGGTGTTTCTGACGTCACAAACGACCTTGTAACCAATCAGATCAACGTGTGATCGTCAACCAGTGGATCTCTGAGTGAGTGAGTGAGTGGAGGCGGGGCTCATTTGCATATTCATAGAACCGCGCGTACTAAATGAGGCAAGGGTGTCGAGTTACATTCGAGATATTTAAAGACATGAAGAAATTTATTTCACAGGAAAAATTATTAAAAATATCATTTTGGTGATCAAAGATGAGTTTTAAGGGATAAAATGTTTGACTTTAACTGTAGTGAGTTATAGTCCGGTGTTGTGTCACACTACTGATGGATGTATGCTAGCGTTAGGGTTAGCGCTAGGCTGGTACCTGAGCCGCCCAGATGCTGTCCAGGTCCTGCAGGGTCAGAGTTTTCTCCTTGATGACGAAGCGCAGGATCTTCTCCAGCTTCTCCACGTACTGCGGCTGGTGGAGGCTGTCTCGCAGCACGATGGACAGGATGTGGTTCTGCTGAATCCACTCCTGACGCACAGAACACACATCGTGAGCACTTCCTGTAGCATCACACGAGGTGTAACACACACACACACACGCACACACTACTAGACACCAGGAACAGTGGGTGCGTCTCAATCCGCTCCCTAGTTCACTGATCAGGGCTGTCCCAATCGCAAAATCCTTCCAGTGCACTGGAACGTTCACTACCTAAAAAGTCCCATAATGCACTGTGAAAACCAGGGAGCATCGATGCTCACTATGTTCCCTTAACAATGTTCCCTTAACAAAAATACTGAAGAGTGAAACATAAATTGTCAATACACTTCACGACCCGTGATGGATGCTTTAAAACAAACAAACAAACCATATTTTTAACTATATTTCTGCATAAACATACATTGATAGACAGGCAGTGAACATGATCTTTTTACCATTAATGATTAATTTACAGCTGGAATGTTGAAGTTATATGTAACGGTCCGGGTATTTATCCGTGTTAAGCATCACCGCTGGTTTCGATCACAGATCTGACTCTCTTTTTACAGAAGACAGAAAAGTTATAGAAGTTTGGGTTTACTGTAAAGCAAATGTAGTGAACTAAACATTTTTATTTCATACAAAATACATATTTTACTAAATAATTTGGACTCTAAAATTGCTAGAAAATCAAAGCCATAAGTCGAACCGATTTGTGTTCCAAATTTTAAGTTGTCATCACAGAAATTGAGCAGCTCAAAGGATCTAAAGTGCCGTTTCCGTGTCCGAATTCAAGACGGTTTTTATGTTTACGCTTTCAAACGATTCCTATTTTACGATTACATTTAATAACTTGGCAGACGCTTTTATCCAAAGCGACTTACAAATGAGAACAATAGAAGCAGTGAAACTAACAATAGGACACATTATGCAAGTGCTGTGACCCTTCCCGGTTTAGTCTAACGCAGTACATGGAATAATCATTTTTTTTAGATAGATAGATTTAGAAGAGAAGGTGTTAGTATTAATGTATCAAGTGTTGCCGAAAAGATGCGTCTTCAGCCGTTTCTTGAAAATGGAAGATTTCGATGATTAATATGTGAAATAGTAACTAAGCCTCCCGGGACCCGGACAGCGGACAGCCGGTCATGAACCCCGCACAGTGAGCGAGGGCACAGGGACCAGATTGAGACACACCCGATGACAGACTGATTGACAGGGAATCTTACGGCCATGCGCTCCGCCGTCAGCCACTCCTCTTCCTCAGGGTTCCCGTGCCGGTGTGTGTAATACGACACGCTCGAGATCACCTTGTTCACTTCGTTCAGCGCGTTCATTTTCCCATTAAACGAGGAGATCTGCAGCAACCTGTAAAGCAGACGAGAAGACTCGATAAACTTCATGCAGAGCGTGAACAGGCACATAACACAACATTAACCGTTATAGATAGTAATAATATGAAGAATATATTTATATTAATATAAATAATATAATAATGAATGGTATACACAAACCACATAATAGTATTTATTTATAATGCGGAACAACTGTGTTTATATGCCGCCAATAACCATGTGCTGTTTTTAGTGTTATATTTTAATGCACGTTGTAGCATTTTTAAAATTATATTTTTATGAGCTAGCGGAACAGAATTTGGTTCATATGTGCACTCTAAAAGTACAGTCGACTGACAATAAAAGGCTATCCATCTATTGTGCTGGGACGGCTCACCTTAGGATCATCTTTAACCGGAAGATCTCCAAGTTCTTGACGGTTTCCTCCTGACCAGGAACTCTGGACGCCAGGTTCTTCAAGGACTTGATGATCATGGACAGAGCGTCGTTCTTGGCCTCGTTCTTGGCCTCTTTCTTCAGCTCCTCGTCTGTGAGGTTCTCCAGAAACTGCGGAACCATCTCGATTACGGGTGAGAAGAACTTCTTCACCGTGTGCAAAGTCAAGAACTCGTAACATTGGCCGAAGGGTCTGGAAGAGAAACCGAGGATCGATGAGGCCCAGAAGCAGCAGCGAGTGCGCCGTCAGCGTCAGGGATGGGTGTGGAGGCACTTACTTGATGAGCGCTGCGATGATCTGCACGTTGAGAGCCTGAGCGCTCATGAAGCGATCGTGGAGAATCTGGAACCCGTTCAATGTGCCGAACTTATTGACGAGGTCCACCAGCCAGCCCTGAGCCAACACAGATGACGGGTCACGACCCCACACACACACTGCATCTGGACTATCATTATTACTCACTTTCCTTCAATATCACCCTCATAACTTCACACTAGCTGCGTTTCCATCCAAACATGCGAATTAACTTTGGAATATTGCATAAATCATCTGTGAATAAAGCAGCGTTTCCATCCCATGTGTTCAAGGGAATAAAGCCGTCAATAAATATCAGTAATAAAGTGTGAGTTTCTGCAATCGGCTGTGTTCCCTCCATCATAAACGAGTGTGTGTCGAGCGTCATCATAACGAGTGTGTGTCGAGCGTCATCATGAACGAGTGTGTGTCGAGCGTCATCATGAACGAGTGTGTGTCGAGCGTCATCATGAGCGAGTGTGTCGAGCGTCATCATGAGCGAGTGTGTGTCGAGCGTCATCATGACCGAGTGTGTGTCGAGCGTCATCATGAACGAGTGTGTGTCGAGCGTCATCATGAACGAGTGTGTGTCGAGCGTCATCATGAACGAGTGTGTGTCGAGCGTTATCATAAACGAGTGTGTGTCGAGCGTCATCATAAACGAGTGTGTGTCGAGCGTCATCATGAGCGAGTGTGTGTCGAGCGTCATCATGAGCGAGTGTGTGTCGAGCGTCATCATGACCGAGTGTGTGTCGAGCGTCATCATGAACGAGTGTGTCGAGCGTCATCATGAGCGAGTGTGTGTCGAGCGTCATCATGAGCGAGTGTGTGTCGAGCGTCATCATGACCGAGTGTGTGTCGAGCGTCATCATGAGCGAGTGTGTGTCGAGCGTCATCATGAACGAGTGTGTCGAGCGTCATCATGAACGAGTGTGTGTCGAGCGTCATCATGAACGAGTGTGTGTCGAGCGTCATCATGAACGAGTGTGTGTCGAGCGTCATCATGAACGAGTGTGTGTCGAGCGTCATCATGAACGAGTGTGTGTCGAGCGTCATCATGAACGAGTGTGTGTCGAGCGTCATCATGAGCGAGTGTGTGTCGAGCGTCATCATAAACGAGTGTGTGTCGAGCGTCATCATGAACGAGTGTGTGTCGAGCGTCATGAACGAGTGTGTGTCGAGCGTCATGAACGAGTGTGTCGAGCGTCATGAACGAGTGTGTGTCGAGCGTCATGAACGAGTGTGTGTCGAGCGTCATGAACGAGTGTGTGTCGAGCGTCATCATGAACGAGTGTGTGTCGAGCGTCATCATGAACGAGTGTGTGTCGAGCGTCATCATAACGAGTGTGCGTCGAGCGTCATCATGAACGAGTGTGTGTCGAGCGTCATCATGAACGAGTGTGTGTCGAGCGTCATGAACGAGTGTGTGTCGAGCGTCATCATGAACGAGTGTGTGTCGAGCGTCATCATGAACGAGTGTGTGTCGAGCGTCATCATAACGAGTGTGCGTCGAGCGTCATCATGAACGAGTGTGTGTCGAGCGTCATCATAACGAGTGTGTGTCGAGCGTCATCATGAACGAGTGTGTGTCGAGCGTCATCATGAACGAGTGTGTGTCGAGCGTCATCATGAACGAGTGTGTGTCGAGCGTCATCATAAACGAGTGTGTGTCGAGCGTCATCATGAGCGAGTGTGTGTCGAGCGTCATCATGAACGAGTGTGTGTCGAGCGTCATCATGAACGAGTGTGTGTCGAGCGTCATCATGAACGAGTGTGTGTCGAGCGTCATCATGAAGGAGTGTGTGTCGAGCGTCATCATGCACGAGTGTGTGTCGAGCGTCATCATGAACGAGTGTGTGTCGAGCGTCATCATGAAGGAGTGTGTGTCGAGCGTCATCATGAACGAGTGTGTGTCGAGCGTCATCATGAACGAGTGTGTGTCGAGCGTCATCATGAGCGAGTGTGTGTCGAGCGTCATCATGAGCGAGTGTGTGTCGAGCGTCATCATAAACGAGTGTGCGTCGAGCGTCATCATGAACGAGTGTGTGTCGAGCGTCATCATAAACGAGTGTGCGTCGAGTGTCATCATGAGCGAGTGTGTGTCGAGTGTCATCATGAACGAGTGTGTGTCGAGCGTCATCATGAACGAGTGTGTGTCGAGCGTCATCATAAACGAGTGTGTGTCGAGCGTCATCATGAACGAGTGTGTGTCGAGCGTCATCATGAGCGAGTGTGTGTCGAGCGTCATCATGAACGAGTGTGTGTCGAGCGTCATCATGAACGAGTGTGTTGAGCGTCATCATAAACGAGTGTGTGTCGAGCGTCATCATGAACGAGTGTGTCGAGCGTCATCATAAGCGAGTGTGTGTCGAGCGTCATCATGAACGAGTGTGTGTCGAGCGTCATCATAAACGAGTGTGTGTCGAGCGTCATCATAAACGAGTGTGTGTCGAGCGTCATCATAAACGAGTGTGTGTCGAGCGTCATCATGAACGAGTGTGTGTCGAGCGTCATCATGAACGAGTGCGTGTCGAGCGTCATCATAAACGAGTGTGTGTCGAGCGTCATCATAAACGAGTGTGTGTCGAGCGTCATCATGAACGAGTGTGTGTCGAGCGTCATCATAAACGAGTGTGTGTCGAGCGTCATCATAAACGAGTGCGTGTCGAGCGTCATCATAAACGAGTGTGTGTCGAGCGTCATCATGAACGAGTGTGTGTCGAGCGTCATCATGAACGAGTGCGTGTCGAGCGTCATCATAAACGAGTGTGTGTCGAGCGTCATCATGAACGAGTGTGTGTCGAGCGTCATCATGAACGAGTGTGTGTCGAGCGTCATCATAACGAGTGTGTCGAGCGTCATCATAAACGAGTGTGTCGAGCGTCATCATAAGCGAGTGTGTGTCGAGCGTCATCATGAACGAGTGTGTGTCGAGCGTCATGAACGAGTGTGTGTCGAGCGTCATCATGAACGAGTGTGTGTCGAGCGTCATGAACGAGTGTGTGTCGAGCGTCATCATGAACGAGTGTGTGTCGAGCGTCATCATAACGAGTGTGTGTCGAGCGTCATCATAAACGAGTGTGTGTCGAGCGTCATCATGAACGAGTGTGTGTCGAGCGTCATCATAAACGAGTGTGTGTCGAGCGTCATCATAAACGAGTGTGTGTCGAGCGTCATCATAAACGAGTGTGTGTCGAGCGTCATCATAAACGAGTGTGTGTCGAGCGTCATCATAACGAGTGTGTGTCGAGCGTCATCATGAACGAGTGTGTGTCGAGTGTCATCATAAACGAGTGTGTGTCGAGCGTCATCATAACGAGTGTGTGTCGAGCGTCATCATAACGAGTGTGTGTCGAGCGTCATCATGAACGAGTGTGTGTCGAGCGTCATCATAAACGAGTGTGTGTCGAGCGTCATCATGAGCGAGTGTGTGTCGAGCGTCATCATGAACGAGTGTGTGTCGAGCGTCATCATAACGAGTGTGTGTCGAGCGTCATCATAAACGAGTGTGTGTCGAGCGTCATCATGAACGAGTGTGTGTCGAGCGTCATCATGAACGAGTGTGTGTCGAGCGTCATCATGAACGAGTGTGTGTCGAGCGTCATCATGAACGAGTGTGTGTCGAGCGTCATCATTAACGAGTGTGTGTCGAGCGTCATCATGAGCGAGTGTGTGTCGAGCGTCATCATGAACGAGTGTGTGTCGAGCGTCATCATAACGAGTGTGTGTCGAGCGTCATCATGAGCGAGTGTGTGTCGAGCGTCATCATGAGCGAGTGTGTGTCGAGCGTCATCATGAACGAGTGTGTGTCGAGCGTCATCATGAACGAGTGTGTGTCGAGCGTCATCATGAACGAGTGTGTGTCGAGCGTCATCATAACGAGTGTGTGTCGAGCGTCATCATGAGCGAGTGTGTGTCGAGCGTCATCATGAACGAGTGCGTGTCGAGCGTCATCATGAACGAGTGTGTGTCGAGCGTCATCATGAACGAGTGTGTGTCGAGCGTCATCATGAGCGAGTGTGTGTCGAGCGTCATCATGAACGAGTGTGTGTCGAGCGTCATCATGAACGAGTGTGTGTCGAGCGTCATCATGAACGAGTGTGTGTCGAGCGTCATCATGAGCGAGTGTGTGTCGAGCGTCATCATGAACGAGTGTGTGTCGAGCGTCATCATGAACGAGTGTGTGTCGAGCGTCATCATGAACGAGTGTGTGTCGAGCGTCATCATAAACGAGTGTGTGTCGAGCGTCATCATGAACGAGTGTGTGTCGAGCGTCATCATGAACGAGTGTGTGTCGAGCGTCATCATGAACGAGTGTGTGTCGAGCGTCATCATGAACGAGTGTGTGTCGAGCGTCATCATGAACGAGTGTGTGTCGAGCGTCATCATGAACGAGTGTGTGTCGAGCGTCATCATGAACGAGTGTGTGTCGAGCGTGAGATGAAACACAGTAAACGCTGTCGTGTTCTCTGGCGTTCGGATGCTGGTGTTCGGGAACACACTCGTGTGTGTGAGACGCTTCTGGAGGGAATTACACCCAATCACTCTGAACACACACTTCCACTCCGGCGTTTCAGAAACACCAGACCAACATTAGAGACGCTGCGACGCCATTGGTCCACCGGTTACTCCAGTTAGCCAATCACAGCTGACGCTGAGGGAAAGTCACACATCGAGGGATTTATTCTGTAAATGTGCATCCTGTCGTTTCCATATAGTGTTTTTACGCAATATACCAAAATTCACAAATAAATAGGTGGATGGAAACAAAGTTAATGTTATATGTGTAATTACACCAGTACCTACTTCCCCATGAGGAGGTTCATTTGTGTTTCACAGATGTTAAAGTCACCATGACATCAAAATGGATAATTCTTGTTTTTCTTAATGGAATATTGCAGTGTTTATTCTAAATGATTTATCTGTGCACATCATCATTATTGTGTTAATAATGTAGAATCAGAATAAGTTCTCGCAGCATCTCTTCTCTTCTCTGATGATGTGGGCGGGGCTATAACCTGTCACTCACATGAGATCAGCCAATAGCAAACCACAACCATCCAATCAAATCCCCACAGACACAATCAAGCCCCGCCCACATGTGTTCTTGTTCCTGAAGCTAACATCCCTCCAGCTTCTGACAGTGAACAGCAGTTTTACTGCAGCGTAAGAAGTGTTATAATAGCGTAAGAAACTGAATAATCACATGTAAAAATAAAACACTGCTTAGTTTTCCCTGTATAAATTAAATATATACTGATTCTTATTAAAGCTACTAAAGTTATTCAGTGAAGAACAGCGAGTGATTCTCTCTGTCTGCTGTTCATGACCCGTTGCGATATATAGGGATGGCCCGATACCGATACTGGCATCGGGGATCGGGCCGATACTGTCCTAATATACTCGTACTCGTACTCATAAAAATTCGCCGATACCACGCACCGATACCACGTACATTTTGCAAAACGAAACTGGCCGCCGCGAGTGCTTTGTCGAGGTGAACTGAGGCATAGGAAAGTATAATGTCGGCGGTTTGGGCTCATTTCAAGATAAGGGGTGATGACAACAGCAAGGCAGACTGTGAGTTATGTTCAGCTAAGGTGTCGAGAGGAGGGAAAGAAAGTACATCGTTTAACACCAGCAATCTAGTTAAACATCTGAAGACGCATCATAGATCTGATGGCCGAGCGCGCGCGCGGGCGGTAATGCACTCACTCTGTGTGTGCGGGTTACGGGAGAATAAAACGATTCGCGGGACTCCCGCAAACTAGAAATATCTATGAATAAAAAATAAAAAATAAAAGATTTTTATTCATCTCTTGCAGAAAAGCAACAAGAACAACTACAACAAAATAGAAACGATTTACAGGACAGAGTTTCTATTCATAACATGGTTACAGCGTTGAGCGATGTAGCCAATCACAGACATATGTGTTGATTTCTGGAACGCAATGGCCAATCAGAAGCATTTAAGATAGACTCCACTCACCACTCAAAACGGACTTTTTTGTTCAGTGCTGAATTCTGTATGCTGGCAAATCCTCTAATTATAATGAACAAAGTGTGGATATTATGAAAGATTGATTGTGCAGTCAGCTTCATTGATAATAACAGAGTTGTGTGAGATCGCAATGAACTGTCAGCTTTTAGGATTTATTAAGGGAGCGCACTTGCGCACATTCAGAATGCCAGACCATGCACGCAGTTAGCCTGCTTGCTTTTATGTTAAATTAACAGTGGTTTGTGTGTTAATACATTTATTATTTTACAAAAATTTTTTTATTTTTAGACTTGTTAAAACAAGCAGAGAAGAAAATAAAAACAGTCTTCTAACCTGTGTTCTAAAATAGTCGTCTTCTCTTCTGGGAGCCTATTAATTTTGCAGTAGAAATATCGGTATCGGTACTCGGTATCGGCAAGTACACAAATGTAAATACTCGTACTCGTATCGGTTTGAAAAAAAATGGTATCGGGCCATCCCTAGCGATATACATAATGCGATATCTCGATATATTGTGCAGTCCTAATTTAAACTCATGCAAAAGATCAGAGAGAGAGAGGTTCACAGTTGAGAGCGAGAGACGAAGCAGTGCACCTTGGGAGAGCGCGGGTCGGGCGGCCGGGCGAACAGCTCGTCGTCGGCCAGCTGCGCTCCCGCAGGGACGCTCTCAGACGGGCGCGTGCCGTTGTAGATGTGGAACTTGCAGTGCGGGTTGGTGGCCATGGAGAGCAGCTCGAGCAGAGGGAACCAGTCCTGGGCCAGCTTGGCCACGCAGAGCTCCATCAGCCGGTGCGTGTTGCTGATGATGCACCTCTGCGACACACACACACACACACACGAACAGCGCTCACATGCAGACCTTCATTACGCCTTCGTGGACGGGTTTGGGCACGAAGGTCTCAGGTGTGATCAAAACATTTCTATCTTTGATAAAATAAAAACTTGTATTATTTTTTTTTTTACCTCTAAAAGTACCATATTTTCTATGTAAATTATGCTTATTTTTATGTTATGTTTAATATTTCTATAACTTCAGTCAAATACATCCTTCCAGTAAGTTCAGACAGCCTAAACCTACAAATCTGGTGTCATATGCTGGAATAAAAATAACAAAAGTGCAATAATAGCCACTGGGTGGCTGTAGTAATCAGCGGCTGAACTCTATAAACCATCGTTATAACGCATTTAAACAAGTTTTTTGATTTTATCACAAGTTAAAATTGTAATTAAAAACACATCTGTGTTGGGTGAGACTATACAAAGATGCCAAAATATGCTTAGACAAATCTGACTATGCTATAAAGTAGTAGATCAATTATTTATTTCAAACAAAAACACATCAAATTTCAATAACTCAAAAAGCAAATGGCACCAAACGGAACCGTAAACCAGTGTGGCATGATCCGCATTGTGTTGGATTTATTGATTTTAATTCGACAAATAAAAAAACAAAATGCTCTGAATTATAGTTTTCCCATTTTTGCCTACAAACGCGGAATTAAGGAGGGTTTTTTTCAACCACTTAACATTGTAGAATCGACTCAAAACATGTGTGTGTGTGTGTGTGTGTGTGTGTGTGTGTGTGTGTGTGTGTGTGTTGAAGGTGCAAACTGAGGGAAGGTAGCCACGCCGTGTACCGCTGAGATCAGGGGTTAGGGTCCGAGAGATCGGTCACACACTCACGTGGATTTCAAACTTCCAGCCGCTCACGGCCTCATCCGTCAGGATCTTTGTGAAGGAGATGGTCAGGCCGTCGCGGAAGAACCTCTGACACGCCTCACACTTCACGTCCAGCCCTTCTCACACACACACACACACACACACACACACACACCAGGTCAGACTAATACTCGTGTGATTTCAGTCATGCTGCTTACACTGGAAGCCTTTTACTTGGAATTGTATATAAAGTAATACTGAAATTTATAATCAAAATAGGTGCATATGATTTAGTGTAATGCTGTGAAAACTAATAATATTTAATTAATTAATTATTTATTTATTTATAATACAATATAACTGCAATTTAATTTCCCTCATTTGGCTGGTAAAAAGTGATTAATTTAAACTGCAGGATTATTGCGGTTATCGAATGATGAATGCAGTTAGATTGAATATCCACGATCATATGAATGATGAATAATGATGGATGTTTTTCAGACCTTTTTTGCTGAGCTCGATCGCCGCTTCCAGCAGAACCTCCAGCTCTCCTTTGGGCAGAACCGGAACCACCCAGCGCGGCCTGGACCAGAGGAGCACACGTTACCACACACACACACACACACACACACACACACACACACACACACACACTGTGAGAGGCGTCAGGCTCACCGGTTGATCATGTCGTCCAGCTTGGCCAGGTCTGTGTGTGGGAAGGCAGGCTCCTCCTCTTCCTGTGTGGGCGGAGCTTCTGCCTGAACCACTTCCTCTGGTGGACTGATGGGTGACGTCTCATCGGAGGAGTTCGGCGAGAGCGTCTAAACACACACACACGAGAGAACGACAACAACATGACGTCACACACAAGCCGCTGTATATGCAGCTTATCCATGTTTCTGGCTAACATCAGAGCAGCTTTACTGAGATAACAGGACAATAACGACACAGAAGAGAACAGCGCCAGTCCAGCTTAAGCCAGTTCAGCGATGCTTCATTTCTGTTGTAAAAAAGTTATTTAGTTCATTTATATATACAGCCGCTCTGGAGTAAACCGTGATGTCATCGTCCAGCTCAGCTCTCATATAATGCAGGAGATCAATAATATTGCTGAATATTAAATAGAGGTCACATCACAACTATAATGATAACGACACAGAGGACTGATTTCACTGGAATCACAAAAGATTTTCTCCAGCTGATGAACAATAAGAACACTGACAGCCAATCAGAATCCATCCTGCTCTACAGAGCTCCAGCTCTTAAAGCGACAGACGCCAAATCTGAGAATAAACAGCGATGATGTGTGTCGGTGTGGTCCTATATTCCTACACTAATGTAGTCATCGTTCTGTGTGAGCCGGTGTTACATCTTCAGAAACTGCCTTGAGGATTAGATAATCGACTAATGAATTAACAGATGCTTTTAGCAGCTTCTCAGAAACCGGTTCAAGCGACATTAATCTGGAAACACTTGAAAAGCTCTGGGTCCTGGACTCCTGGTTCTGTCCGGTGACAGCTGATCTTCTGAAGATGGAGGAACCCAAGAGGAGGCATTTGGAAAAGTCATGTGATGCACATTGCACCTATAGAGATCTGTGTTTACAGACTGTGTTTGCTGAGCTGAGCTGTCTCTCACACACACACACACACACACACACACACACCTGGGTCTGGGTCTGGGTCTGGGTGTCGGGCGCCTGGCTCTGGCTCTCGTTGCCGCCCACAGGAGACCCGCGGGTGGTGGCCGTCATGCTCGACGCGCGGCTGATCCGGGCGATCCGGTCTGATTATGTGCTTTACGGGTTTCCCCGATTCCAGCGTCCGAGAGAACGAGACCGAAGCAGCGGGAGCTCAGGACGAGCCTCAGAGACCATGGCATTACCTGCAGACACACACACACACACACCAGCTGATCAACACACACACACCAGCAGATCAACACACACACACCAGCAGATCAACACACACACACCAGCAGATCAACACACACACACCAGCAGATCAACACACACACACACCAGCAGATCAACACACACACACACCAGCAGATCAACACACACACACCAGCAGATCAACACACACACACACCAGCAGATCAACACACACACACCAGCAGATCAACACACACACACCAGCAGATCAACACACACACACCAGCAGATCAACACACACACACCAGCAGATCAACACACACACACCAGCAGATCAACACACACACCAGCAGATCAACACACACACACACCAGCAGATCAACACACACACACCAGCAGATCAACACACACACCAGCAGATCAACACACACACACCAGCAGATCAACACACACACACACCAGCAGATCAACACACACACACCAGCAGATCAACACACACACACCAGCAGATCAACACACACACACCAGCAGATCAACACACACACACCAGCAGATCAACACACACACACCAGCAGATCAACACACACACCAGCAGATCAACACACACACACCAGCAGATCAACACACACACACACCAGCAGATCAACACACACACACCAGCAGATCAACACACACACCAGCAGATCAACACACACACACCAGCAGATCAACACACACACACACCAGCAGATCAACACACACACACACCAGCAGATCAACACACACACACCAGCAGATCAACACACACACACCAGCAGATCAACACACACACACCAGCAGATCAACACACACACACCAGCAGATCAACACACACACACCAGCAGATCAACACACACACACCAGCAGATCAACACACACACCAGCAGATCAACACACACACACCAGCAGATCAACACACACACACACACACCAGCAGATCAACACACACACACCAGCAGATCAACACACACACACCAGCAGATCAACACACACACACCAGCAGATCAACACACACACACCAGCAGATCAACACACACACACCAGCAGATCAACACACACACCAGCAGATCAACACACACACACCAGCAGATCAACACACACACCAGCAGATCAACACACACACACCAGCAGATCAACACACACACACACCAGCAGATCAACACACACACACACCAGCAGATCAACACACACACACCAGCAGATCAACACACACACACCAGCAGATCAACACACACACACCAGCAGATCAACACACACACACCAGCAGATCAACACACACACACACCAGCAGATCAACACACACACACACACCAGCAGATCAACACACACACACACACCAGCAGATCAACACACACACACCCCAGCAGATCAACACACACACACCCCAGCAGATCAACACACACACACACACCCCAGCAGATCAACACACACACACACACACTGAACGGGTTCAGTTCAGACGTCTGTGCGGATCAGATGCCGCTGCTAACTTTAACCGCTGAACACCAGCTGCTCTCGTCCGTCCACACACACACACACACACATTTTAACTATTTATTTGAGTCCACTTAAAAGAAATGATTTACAGGGACACAAATACTATAGATGCAGTCAAATGCATGCACATAATCATGGACAAGCGGCATACAGCAGATCTTCACAGATAGACACACACACACACACACACACACACACACACACAGATAGACACACACACACACACACACACAGATAGACACACACACACGTTTGTTCTGTGCCGTACAGTTTGTCTGTTAACATCATCAGACGCGTGTGTTTCTGTCCTGACGCTCCGCTGGTCTATGTAAAGACTGTATGTGTGTGTGTCTGTGTGTCTGTGTGTGTGTGTGTGTGTGTCTGATAATGCGTGTCTGTCTGTGCATGCGTGCGCGTGTGTGTCTGTGTGTGTGTGTCTGGTCATGCGTGTCTGTCTGTGCATACGTGTGTGTGTGTGTGTCTGGTCATGCGTGCGTGTGTGTGTGTGTGTCGGTCTGTGCGCGCGTGTGTGTGTGTGTGTGTCTGGTCATGCGTGTCTGTCTGTGCATACGTGTGTGTGTGTGTGTCTGGTCATGCGTGCGTGTGTGTGTGTGTGTGTGTCGGTCTGTGCGCGCGTGTGTGTGTGTGTGTGTGTCTGGTCATGCGTGCGTGTGTGTGTGTGTGTCTGTCGGTCTGTGCGCGCGTGTGTGTGTGTGTGTCTGGTCATGCGTGCGTGTGTGTGTGTGTGTCTGTCGGTCTGTGCGCGCGTGTGTGTGTCTGTCGGTCTGTGTGTGTCTGATCATGCGTGTCTGTCTGTGCATGCGTGCGCGCGTGTGTGTCTGTGCATATGTGCGTGTGTGTCTCTGTGTGTGTGTGTGTGTGTGTGTGTGTGTTGCTGCACTTATAAGGGTCAAACGGGCTCACTAATAAAGAGAAAGCTGAATAGCCGGTGGAGATGGAGAGCAGGAGCGTTGAAGGTTAATAATGCCTTACCAACACACAGCTGACCAGTTCTGGACCTCAACACCCGCCCACGGTCCTGAAGAACACAGAGTGTTTGGGTCCAGCACACGCTTCAGCGCCGCCCTCAGGAAGTGACATGCACACACTTCCTGTCACACAGGTGTGCTCTGATGAGAAACACAAACACAACAACATCAAACACACTCAGTCCAAATCAAAACACAGGTGCAACAAACACATAAATCAAACTAAACCTAACGAAATTAAATCAAATAAAAAAGTTTACATTTACACATTTACATTTAGTCATTTAGCAGACGCTTCTATCCAAAGCGACTTACAACTGAGGACTAAACCAAGCGAGTCATCGTGAAGAGGCAAAAACAACGCAAGAAGTGCTCAAAATACAAAGTTCAGCCATAGCTCGGAGAAGCATAAGCCAGGCAAGCGAGGATTTAGAGGAAAGGATTTTTTTTTTTTTTAATGTTATGTTAAGTGCTCCCGGAAGAGATGAGTTCTCAGTTGTCTTTTGAATGTTGTCAGGGATTCTGCATTCCGGATGAGGGACGGCAGATCACTCCACCAGCATGGAACCGTGAATGAGAATGTTCTGGAGAGTGATTTTGTGCCCCGCTGTGATGGTACCACGAGCCGTCGCTCATTGACCGATCGTAGGCTTCTGGTAGGGATGTAGACTTGTAGTAGTGACTGGAAGTAGGAGGGAGCTGAACCTGTGGTCAATCTGTAAGCAAGCGTCAAAGCCTTGAACTTGATGCGAGCAGCGAGTGGTAGCCAGTGCAGAGAGATGAGCAGAGGAGTGACGTGGGCCCTTTTGGGCTCGTTGAAGACCAGGCGAGCTGCAGCATTCTGGATCATTTGTAGAGGTTTAGTTGCACATGATGGAAGTCCAGCCAGAAGAGCATTGCAGTAATCAAGCCTAGAAATGACCAGGGCCTGGACGAGAAGTTGTGTTGCATGCTCAGTTAGGAAAGGCCTGATCTTCCTGATGTTGTGCATAGCAAACCTGCATGATCGAGCTGTCTTTGTGATGTGGTCTGTGAAGGTCAGCTGATCATCAAAGATTACTCCAAGATTTCTGGCCGACCTTGATGGGGTGATTGAGGATGACTCTAGCTGGATAGTGAAGTCGTGCTGTAGAGACGGATTGGCAGGGAGGATGAGAAGCTCAGTCTTTGCCAGGTTGAGCTGCAGGTGATGTTCCTTCATCCATGCCGATGGATGAAGTTTAAATAAATAAATGCATTTATTTTTGGAGAAAATAAATGCATTTATTTTCATTTATTATGATTTATTCTTGGTTCATTTATTTAAAATGAACCAAGTTTAAATAAATAAATGCATAAAATGTATGGCAAGCTGTTTTAACTTTTATTCATTTCCAGGATATGAATACTTGATATCAACAATTACATTTTCACTAGTTAAAATTATAATTATTGATATCAGGAATAATATTTCTACTAGTAACAATGGCAATTTTTGATATCAGGAATTACATTTTCACTAGTAACAATGGTAATTCTTGACATCAACATTTACATTTTCACTAGTTAAAATGATAATTCTTGATATCAACAATTGAATTGCAACTAGTAAAAACTATCATTCTTGATATCTGTAATTGTATTTTCACTAGTGAAATGTCACCATAGGCTGCCATTCAAAATCAATTCTTGATATCAAGAATTGATTTCTTACTAGTTGAAATTCCAATTTCACATATCAGAAACACAATTCTTACTAGTAAAAACTTTTATTTTTGATATCAAGAATTAAATTGTCACTAGTTGAAATGTCTATTCTTGATATCAACAATTGAATTGCTACTAGTAACAATGTTCATTTTTGATATCAATAATTCAATTTTCACTAGTGACAATGTTAATTTCTGATATCATGAATGTGATTGTTACTAGTAAGAAAGCCATTTTAGATATCTGAAATAATATTGATATCAGAAATACATTTTCAGATATCAAAAATGAAAATTTTTACTAGTAGCAATTCAGTTGTTGATATCAAGAATAGACATTTAGACTAGTGATAATTTAATTATTGATATCAGGAATTCGCATTTTTACTAGTAACAATGTAATTATTGATATCAAAAATTATATTTCTACTAGTAGGAAATCAATTCTTGATATTAACAATTAATTTTAAATGGCAGTCTATGGTGACATTTCACTAGTGAAAATACAATTGTTGATATAGTATTCATATCCTGGAAATGAATAAAAGTTAAAACGGCTTGCCATATAAAATGTATATAACACATCTAAATAATACACCTGCAGCACAGAGAAATACAGTGGAAATGCAACATAACAGAAACGAAACATTGTCCAATTACTATATAGGGAATTTTGACAAAATATATTTGGCCTTTTACATGTAAATATTCCGCTGCCTTCATGAGCCATATCTGGCATCTAAACCCGAGCTCTGCTTTCCAGGAGATCCCACTCTCCGTCCTCCGCCAGAAACATATGATATTAATATCAAAGGCTCAAATGCAGTCCATCCTCTTAACTGTATATTTGGAGAAATTGCACATAAAACGGCGAGACTTCATTATGAAACACGTTTCTCATCTCACAACACACACACGTAACATGTAAATATCAACATGACGAGCTGTCAATCACCTTGACGAGGAAACAGCGCTGATCAATAGAGCTTTTACACTACATAGTCTTCTTCCATTAGCATCACATTCCTGTAGCAGCACACCGATCTGTTACAGACACACGTTCAAATGACAGTAATTATTAGCTATTTAATCTGATAAAGAATCACTTTAAAGGCCGGTTTCTGAAACCGCTAACGTTAGCATTAGCATTCCGCTCGCGTTCTTAACGTTTATATTCCAGCACAGACAAACATTACAAGATAAACATTACAAAACAAACACGAGCACATTCAAACAACCGCATAAAAGTACGCCTCGTGACGCTTAGTTAGAATCTGTCATTGTGTTCGTGCGGGTGTTATTGAGGCCTGTTAGCATCAGTGCTATCATGCTAACCGCTGCTCCACCTCATAAATGGCGCGACACTCGCGCGCGCTCTCTCTCTCTCTCTCTCTCTCTCATATCATCCTCATCATGTCAACCTTACCGCACACACGAGCTCAAAACAGGCCGCTCAGTCTGTGTTTAATCGTGTGTGTGTGTCAGTCAGCAGCCATTTTGCTCCGCAAACACACAGAAAACCGGTTCACAGGAGCGGATAAACGTGTCAGACGCGCGCGAGCTCATGTTTGGTTTTTCGAGCTCATGTTTGTAGTGTCACTTAACAATGAGAAACACACGTCACTCATCGCTCACCCGCGGCGCGCTCCTGCAGTCCGTCAGTGTTTGTTTCGCGCGTTTCGGCTGTTTTTCCTGCGTCACCAGGCGCGCGCCCCCCCTCAGACCATCACACAACTAACTACTCACTCAACCAGCACTAACGGGCCCGGTGTGTGATGATGGCTTTAATGCTCAACTGATATTCGGTTCTTCTAGAATGACGCGCGGCCCGTTTGATGTTTAAATGCCCGCGGCCGCGTCTTAAAGCCTCACAAAATAGTGTGTTGCCTACCTAGACAACACTACTGAGAGTCGCTGTCAGGATTCCTGAGCCGCTGGTGTGAATATTTTACCCGAGGTTTGATCAGTGTGTGTGTGTGTGTGTGTTGTTGTTATTCCGGCAGGAGGCGTCAGTGAGTGACAGCGCGAGCACAGGACCCGGAAGACGATGACGTCATCACGTTGTCACGTGTTTAACCGTGAGCTTCACCATCAAACCGTTTTTTTTGTTTTGTTGGAAAAACATTTGAAAAAAGTTGCTATATATTTCCTTAATACTAATAATAAACAAGCCCAACTCTGTCTGTATTATTAAACCATCAGACATTATTAAACGTTTTCAGACTTTGCATTATAAAGCATTGGTCAGATTTCTGACTTTACACACACCCAGTTATTAGGGCTGGTTGTGTGTGAGGCACCACGTGATGTGCATGAGTGAAACAGCACCATCTACTGGAGAAATATGAGCAGTTTAAACCCCCATCATCTTCATCATCACGTGTTGAAACGTGCTTCATCATCAGATTTTTTTTTTTTTTTTTAAGAAGTTGCTTTATATTTTCATGAAAATAATAAGCAAGCCCAACTCTGTCTGTCTGTGTTATTAAACCAACTAAAAACGGTTTCATACTTTGCTTATAAAACATTGATCAGATTTCTGAATTTATACACACTCTCTCTCAGTTAGAGCTGTATATTTAGATGTGTGTGAGACACCACGTGATGTGCATGTGTGAAACAGCACCATCTGCTGGAGAATATGAGCTATGGCAACAACGTTGCTATTAAATCTGCTATATAAATAAATAAAAGTTTAAGTTTTAAATCATCATCATTGACAAAAACAACATGCATGACCTGATTTCAAAAGCAATTTACTTATTCAACACATGAAAGGAAATAGATTAAAAAAAACATATCGAAGAGCAGTTTTGTCCTTTGCAGAGATCATGTACACAGGGCAATATGAAATGAAGAGTTCACACAGTCTGTTCAGTTGTTTATACACACACTACTTCATTTCAACCGCAAAAGGAACGCACCATTGAAACATTTACACACAGTAAAATCCTCTCGGGAGTAAAACAATAATACTCTTTTAAGACAGCACATTTTCTGAAAGGATCGATCTAGGAATGAATATTTTCCACCCCGTTTCCGCACAAGAAATCAAATCCAGGACATTTACAAACACGTCACTAACACTGGGAAGAGGGAAGCGTCCGTCCGGATTCGGGAGAGACACGGACACATCGAGGAAGAGGAGCAACCGAGGAAGAGCTGCCCTTGTGCAAACCTACTGTAAACAGAGGGGTGTGTGTGTGTGTGTGTGTGTGAGCTGTGCTTGTACACCGTCAGTGGGTGGAGTCACGAAGCCACGCCCACAGCTAAGGTTTGATTGACAGACTGTGCTCATCATTGCTCAGAGACGCCGTCTCGTACATTTAAAAAGAAAACAGTATAAAATGTCATCAACCCCCTCGGTATTAGTACAGGACCATATCTATGACTTATATATTCATATTTATAGATATTTATATATGTATAGGTATATACAACACTCGGCGCTGGTAGTCCGTGGCGTGCGTGTGTGTGTGTGTGTGGCTAGTACACCCAGGACACGGGCACCCACTGCGCAGTGCTGCACACCAGGTCGATGGCCTCCTCCAGCATGCGGATGGTGTCGTCGATCTCGTTATTGATGACCGTCTGATCGAAGTAATGAGCGTATGAGCGCTGGAGCGCCTCGGACTCCTTCTGGAGCCGCTGCAGAGACTCGTCCTGAGGAGCACACACACACACACACACATCACTGGAGGAGCACACACTGATACATGTACACAACAACACTAATCACTGAACAATCACACTTCTTTACAGCTGGAGATCGACCGATACAGATTATTTGCATGTTTATGATAACCGATATTTATTGTTTGATTCCTGTTTTTGAGAATTATAACAGCACTGTATTGAACAAATGGTTTTATTTAACACTTACTACTGTGATCTCTGAAATTTCGCTCCCTCCTTGCATACAAAATAGTGTGTGCAACGATTAATCGTCCAAAATAAACGTTTGTTTACATAATATATGTGTGTGTGCTGTTTAATTATTTAGTATATATAAATACACACACATGCATGTATATATTTAAGAAAAATGTGTTATAAATATATTTTATATGAATAAAAAGCTTAAATATCGGGAACCTCGATTATCGGCCGATCTCTGTTTACAGCAGAGTTAGCATATGTGAAGCTACTGTACAACAACTGAAGCGCAACAGAACCTGCGATCTACCACACACACTTCCGCCTGAGCGAGTCACTCCAGGAGAGAAGCCCGTGTGAACTCATGCATATCCATTCAGCATTCGGCAGAAACCTGGAGCAGTTTCTGCATCTACAGTCGAACCAGCATTACTCAGACACTCCAACATCTCTCACATTATCAGTTTATTCGCTATAGTTTAGAAAATGGTGATAAATATGAGCAGAACTCAGTGGATATTTGACTGGTTTTGTCCGTCCTTCTGTTAGACTCTCACACATGAGTTATGTTGAATATCTGTCAGCTGTTAAATTTAACTACACAATTAGATAATACCAGTTTAGCTCAACCAGTGACCAAGCAATGCTTCATGTTGTTCAGTGTGTGTGTAAAAAGAGCATTAGCAATTACAGAAAACACACTGAAGAAAACATGATCAGCTCAAAGTGGAGGAGTCATTTCTGGTGCCAAATGTCACTGGTAGACGCTGTATGAAGAATATTTGGGTCTAATATGTCACAGTTTACTCTATTTTGCGATCCTCACTCACATTAATGAACTATAGTGTCCTGATCACACTAGTGAAACAATATCAAAAATGATATCCGGTGTCTGAATACTTTTTGGTTTGACTGACTTTATAGAGAGAAACTATATTTTAAAGATCGTCTCTGAAACATTGCATTTGGATGGACCAATCACACATCAGAGATCTTCAAAAGCTGCTGAGGCTCTTATGCATGAGTGTGTGTGACGGAGCGCCTGTCATGGAGCGACTCGCCGACACACACTTTACTTACAGGAAGTTTCCTGCACCATCTAGGGATCTGAGAGCATCCCGGAGACGCAAGAACAGAACCAGTCAACACACATGCAGCATGCAGTGAAGCGTGAGTGTGTGTGAGAGTGAGCGTGTGTGAGCGTGTGTATGTGTGTGTGTGAGTGAGTGTGTGTGTGAGTGAGTGTGTGTGTGAGTGTGTGTGTGTGTGTGAGAGTGAGTGTGTGAGTGTGTTTGAGCGTGAGTGTGAGCGTGTGTGTGAGTGTGTGTGAGCGTGTGTGTGTGTGTGTGTGTGAGTATGTGTGTGTGTGAGTGTGTGTGGGTGTGAGTATGTGTGTGTGTGTGTGTGAGTTTGTGTGAGTGTGGGTGTGAGTATGTGTGTTAGAGGTGTGTGTGTGTGTGTGAGTATGTGTGTGTGTGAGGGTGTGAGTATGTGTGTGTGTGAGTGTGTGTGGGTGTGAGTGTGTGTGTGTGTGTGTGTGTGTGTGTGTGAGTGTGTGTGAGCGTGAGTGTGTGTGAGCTCACCTCGGTCATGGCGGGAGTGATGGTTGGCGCCCCGATGAACACAACGTACGGCGCAAACTCGGCGGTCCGCAGAACCTTCAGCGCCTGTGAACACAACGCAAGCTCGTCAGAAGCGCTCGGGGAGACAGCGGGAGGATCCGGGCCGGCCCGTACCTGCGGCTCCACGTCCAGGATCGCCACCAGGCCCTGCTCGTGGATCTGCCGGATCGTCTCCAGCCGCGTGCCGTACATGGCGTCCTCGTGGCTGCCGTACTCCAGGTAATCGTTGTTGGAGATGTCCTGCATCATCTGGTCATGTGACACGAAGAAGTAGTTCTTCCCGTTCTCCTCGTCCTTCTTCGGAGGTCTGGTCGTGTCTGTTGGGGAGAAGTGTGTGGTGTGTGTGTGTGTGTGTGTGTGTGAGAGAGCGGTTAGTCGCACAGGAGCGTCATGCGAGTCAATCGTGCGAATGATGGAGCGAGTCTTACGTGGGATGGGATACGCGAATCTGTCCGGGTGTTTGGCGATGAGAGTGTTCTTGATGTGTCTCCGGCCGACTCCGTGAGCGCCTGCGGACACACACACACACACACACACGATCTCTGAACACTCAAAACATCTAAAAACTTCTTTATGCGCAAGTTAAGGAAACATTCCATTGTATCATTCTTCAAACATTCTGGGAACATTACTTTTGAATGTTCTCTGATCGTTACTTTAGAATGTTCTCTGATCGTTACTTTAGAATGTTCTCTGATCGTTACTTTTGAATGTTCTCTGATCGTTACTTTTGAATGTTCTCTGATCGTTACTTTTGAATGTTCTCTGATCGTTACTTTTGAATGTTCTCTGATCGCTACTTTAGAATGTTCTCTGATCGTTACTTTAGAATGTTCTCTGATCGTTACTTTTGAATGTTCTCTGATCGTTACTTTTGAATGTTCTCTGATCGTTACTTTTGAAAGTTCTCTGATCGTTACTTTTGAAAGTTCTCTGATCGTTACTTTTGAATGTTCTCTGATCGTTACTTTTGAATGTTCTCTGATCGCTACTTTAGAATGTTCTCTGATCGCTACTTTAGAATGTTCTCTGATCGCTACTTTAGAATGTTCTCTGATCGTTACTTTAGAATGTTCTCTGATCGCTACTTTAGAATGTTCTCTGATCGCTACTTTTGAATGTTCTCTGATCGTTACTTTTGAATGTTCTCTGATCGCTACTTTAGAATGTTCTCTGATCGTTACTTTTGAATGTTCTCTGATCGCTACTTTAGAATGTTCTCTGATCGCTACTTTTGAATGTTCTCTGATCGTTACTTTTGAATGTTCTCTGATCGCTACTTTAGAATGTTCTCTGATCGCTACTTTAGAATGTTCTCTGATCGTTACTTTTGAATGTTCTCTGATCGTTACTTTACAATGTTCTCTGATCGTTACTTTTGAATGTTCTCTGATCGTTACTTTTGAATGTTCTCTGATCGTTACTTTAGAATGTTCTCTGATCGCTACTTTTGAATGTTCTCTGATCGTTACTTTTGAATGTTCTCTGATCGTTACTTTACAATGTTCTCTGATCGTTACTTTTGAATGTTCTCTGATCGTTACTTTTGAATGTTCTATGATCGCTACTTTAGAATGTTCTCTGATCGCTACTTTAGAATGTTCTATGATCGCTACTTTAGAATGTTCTCTGATCGTTACTTTAGAATGTTCTCTGATCGTTACTTTTGAATGTTCTCTGATCGTTACTTTTGAATGTTCTCTGATCGTTACTTTTGAATGTTCTCTGATCGTTACTTTTGAATGTTCTCTGATCGTTACTTTTGAATGTTCTCTGATCGTTACTTTTGAATGTTCTCTGATCGTTACTTTAGAATGTTCTCTGATCGTTACTTTTGAATGTTCTCTGATCGTTACTTTTGAATGTTCTCTGATCGTTACTTTTGAATGTTCTCTGATCGTTACTTTAGAATGTTCTCTGATCGCTACTTTAGAATGTTCTCTGATCGCTACTTTAGAATGTTCTCTGATCGCTACTTTAGAATGTTCTCTGATCGTTACTTTAGAATGTTCTCTGATCGTTACTTTTGAATGTTCTCTGATCGTTACTTTAGAATGTTCTCTGATCGTTACTTTTGAATGTTCTCTGATCGTTACTTTAGAATGTTCTCTGATCGTTACTTTTGAATGTTCTCTGATCGTTACTTTTGAATGTTCTCTGATCGTTACTTTTGAATGTTCTCTGATCGTTACTTTTGAAAGTTCTCTGATCGTTACTTTTGAATGTTCTCTGATCGTTACTTTTGAATGTTCTCTGATCGTTACTTTTGAATGTTCTCTGATCGCTACTTTAGAATGTTCTCTGATCGCTACTTTAGAATGTTCTCTGATCGCTACTTTAGAATGTTCTCTGATCGTTACTTTAGAATGTTCTCTGATCGCTACTTTAGAATGTTCTCTGATCGCTACTTTTGAATGTTCTCTGATCGTTACTTTTGAATGTTCTCTGATCGTTACTTTACAATGTTCTCTGATCGTTACTTTTGAATGTTCTCTGATCGTTACTTTTGAATGTTCTCTGATCGTTACTTTAGAATGTTCTATGATCGCTACTTTAGAATGTTCTCTGATCGCTACTTTAGAATGTTCTCTGATCGTTACTTTAGAATGTTCTATGATCGCTACTTTAGAATGTTCTCTGATCGTTACTTTACAATGTTCTCTGATCGTTACTTTTGAATGTTCTCTGATCGTTACTTTTGAATGTTCTCTGATCGTTACTTTAGAATGTTCTATGATCGCTACTTTAGAATGTTCTCTGATCGCTACTTTAGAATGTTCTCTGATCGTTACTTTAGAATGTTCTCTGATCGTTACTTTTGAATGTTCTCTGATCGTTACTTTTGAATGTTCTCTGATCGTTACTTTTGAATGTTCTCTGATCGTTACTTTTGAATGTTCTCTGATCGTTACTTTTGAATGTTCTCTGATCGTTACTTTTGAATGTTCTCTGATCGTTACTTTTGAATGTTCTCTGATCGTTACTTTAGAATGTTCTCTGATCGTTACTTTTGAATGTTCTCTGATCGTTACTTTTGAATGTTCTCTGATCGTTACTTTTGAATGTTCTCTGATCGTTACTTTAGAATGTTCTCTGATCGCTACTTTAGAATGTTCTCTGATCGCTACTTTAGAATGTTCTCTGATCGCTACTTTAGAATGTTCTCTGATCGTTACTTTAGAATGTTCTCTGATCGTTACTTTTGAATGTTCTCTGATCGTTACTTTAGAATGTTCTATGATCGCTACTTTAGAATGTTCTCTGATCGCTACTTTAGAATGTTCTCTGATCGTTACTTTTGAATGTTCTCTGATCGTTACTTTTGAATGTTCTCTGATCGTTACTTTTGAATGTTCTCTGATCGTTACTTTAGAATGTTCTCTGATCGTTACTTTTGAATGTTCTCTGATCGTTACTTTTGAATGTTCTCTGATCGTTACTTTTGAATGTTCTCTGATCGTTACTTTAGAATGTTCTCTGATCGCTACTTTAGAATGTTCTCTGATCGCTACTTTAGAATGTTCTCGGATCGTTACTTTTGAATGTTCTCTGAACGTTACTTTTGAATGTTCTCTGATCGTTACTTTAGAATGTTCTCTGATCGTTACTTTAGAATGTTCTCTGATCGTTACTTTTGAATGTTCTCTGATCGTTACTTTTGAATGTTCTCTGATCGTTACTTTAGAATGTTCTCTGATCGTTACTTTAGAATGTTCTCGGATCGTTACTTTTGAATGTTCTCTGAACGTTACTTTTGAATGTTCTCGGATCGTTACTTTTGAATGTTCTCTGATTGTTACACTTTTGAATGTTCTCTGATCGTTACACTTTTGAATGTTCTCTGAACGTTACTTTTGAATGTTCTCTGATCGTTACTTTTGAATGTTCTCTGATCGTTACTTTTGAATGTTCTCTGATCGTTACTTTAGAATGTTCTATGATCGCTACTTTAGAATGTTCTCTGATCGCTACTTTAGAATGTTCTATGATCGCTACTTTAGAATGTTCTCTGATCGTTACTTTAGAATGTTCTCTGATCGTTACTTTTGAATGTTCTCTGATCGTTACTTTTGAATGTTCTCTGATCGTTACTTTTGAATGTTCTCTGATCGTTACTTTTGAATGTTCTCTGATCGTTACTTTTGAATGTTCTCTGATCGTTACTTTTGAATGTTCTCTGATCGTTACTTTAGAATGTTCTCTGATCGTTACTTTTGAATGTTCTCTGATCGTTACTTTTGAATGTTCTCTGATCGTTACTTTTGAATGTTCTCTGATCGTTACTTTAGAATGTTCTCTGATCGCTACTTTAGAATGTTCTCTGATCGCTACTTTAGAATGTTCTCTGATCGCTACTTTAGAATGTTCTCTGATCGTTACTTTAGAATGTTCTCTGATCGTTACTTTTGAATGTTCTCTGATCGTTACTTTAGAATGTTCTATGATCGCTACTTTAGAATGTTCTCTGATCGCTACTTTAGAATGTTCTCTGATCGTTACTTTTGAATGTTCTCTGATCGTTACTTTTGAATGTTCTCTGATCGTTACTTTTGAATGTTCTCTGATCGTTACTTTAGAATGTTCTCTGATCGTTACTTTTGAATGTTCTCTGATCGTTACTTTTGAATGTTCTCTGATCGTTACTTTTGAATGTTCTCTGATCGTTACTTTTGAAAGTTCTCTGATCGTTACTTTTGAATGTTCTCTGATCGTTACTTTTGAATGTTCTCTGATCGTTACTTTTGAATGTTCTCTGATCGCTACTTTAGAATGTTCTCTGATCGCTACTTTAGAATGTTCTCTGATCGCTACTTTAGAATGTTCTCTGATCGTTACTTTAGAATGTTCTCTGATCGCTACTTTAGAATGTTCTCTGATCGCTACTTTTGAATGTTCTCTGATCGTTACTTTTGAATGTTCTCTGATCGTTACTTTACAATGTTCTCTGATCGTTACTTTTGAATGTTCTCTGATCGTTACTTTTGAATGTTCTCTGATCGTTACTTTAGAATGTTCTATGATCGCTACTTTAGAATGTTCTCTGATCGCTACTTTAGAATGTTCTCTGATCGTTACTTTAGAATGTTCTATGATCGCTACTTTAGAATGTTCTCTGATCGTTACTTTACAATGTTCTCTGATCGTTACTTTTGAATGTTCTCTGATCGTTACTTTTGAATGTTCTCTGATCGTTACTTTAGAATGTTCTATGATCGCTACTTTAGAATGTTCTCTGATCGCTACTTTAGAATGTTCTCTGATCGTTACTTTAGAATGTTCTCTGATCGTTACTTTTGAATGTTCTCTGATCGTTACTTTTGAATGTTCTCTGATCGTTACTTTAGAATGTTCTCTGATCGCTACTTTTGAATGTTCTCTGATCGCTACTTTAGAATGTTCTCTGATCGCTACTTTAGAATGTTCTCTGATCGTTACTTTAGAATGTTCTCTGATCGCTACTTTAGAATGTTCTCTGATCGCTACTTTTGAATGTTCTCTGATCGTTACT